TCTGGCTTGTCGCACTGGACAAATATGCCAGGAAGTCCTTTGGCGATAGCAACACAGGTGATATCTATCGGAATCAAGTTTAAATTGTAAATTACGCATTTAATAAAACTGACATTAGAAATTTACTCCACAATCTGCATTAACGATCTAGGTCATACGTATTAAACATATTTAAATATATCTTAATGTTTGTTTGGACAATTTCTATTGATATCGAAATATAGTCGGTTAATCGCCCATCTTTTTTTTCTCTTTTCAATTATTCTTTTTGCTGAGATTTTTTGAATTTTTATGCGAAAAGCAGCAAAAAGTGTAAAAAGAGAACGAGGTGAAGCTACAATAAGCTACTGAACAATTGGGGCAACCTCCAGAACATAGCGTCCTAATATTATTAAGGCATTAATGTTATTTAAACAATTAATTACATTTATTTCATTTAAAGATAATTTAGAAAAAGAAGATGTGCATTTCTTTTTCATGCATAAAGTAACGTTTTAAAAATTGTTTTCAATTAACTAAAATTATGTGAGACTTTCAAGAAATTTACCCACTTATTTCCATTCTTATCTGAAATATTTAATTTTTGTTTCGGTTTAATTATTTTATTTAAATTATCAGTCATATTTTAGCAACATAATTTGCATAAAGCATTTCAATTTTTAGGTATTTTTTTGGAATCTAGTCAAATCCGAATTCTCGATACTCAGAATCTTGTAAGATTAAACATTCTCTAAATTATAATTCAGGAATAAGTTGAAAAAAAAGTTTTATTTTGTATTTTTTTTAAGTTTTTTATTTTCTCATTAAATCAAAATTCCAGTTGATTCCAATTGATAAATCATTTGGTAAAATTTCTTCAAAAACCTTTTTGAAAAAACAAATTTTAAACAAATAAAAATATAACGTAAAATTTCCAAAAAAAATGGAGAAATTGTTGAGATACCTTTGAGTTTTTCTCTCTTTCGGGATTTTGGTCATCCAGAATTTTCATTATTCGGAATTTTGAAGCGAACTTATTGCCTTATTTTTTAATGCTCTCTTTTATATTTCGTCCTTTTTTCTTTCGTATTTCATATTTTTTTGTAAATTTTTTTAAAATTTATTCAAATTTACACATGGTTTTGTGTCCCGCTTGACAGAGCGAATAATTGTTGAAATTATCGTATTGAGAGTCCAGAGCCGCTTCCAGCCTGGCAACAATAAATCTTTTATTTAAAAATCCGCGTGGTGGTGTGCATCCACTTATAGCTCGCCAAGTTCTATCACCAGATGACTTCCTATCAAAAATTTCTAATAATATTAATAACCAGCGTAGCTTGGCTAGTGGTGAGCGCAAAACATTTATTTAATATTATTTAATATTAAATAATATTAAATAAATATTGGCATATTTAATATTGGCAGGAAGACGATCCAGTTGCCTTCTTCATCACTGGTCTTTTTATTGTATTTATTTTTATGAATTATATATTATTTATTTTTTCTATAAAATTCTTTCTCCGGAAGGAAGTCATCATAATAGGTTTAATGAAACGTCCTAGTTTTTTTATTAAGAAAATTCTTGTGAATTCTTGTTTTTTATTAACAAACAAGGGCACAGTAGCCGAGTAGACAGTGGTTCAGATCTATGTTGCTGGAGACTGAGCAACTGACCACTAACCACTTATCATAATGATTATTTTTTGATATATTCTTGTTTTTGCTCACGAGAAAAAATTTTTCCTTTGCGTTTAATGCAAATCTATCTTTTAAAGAAAATTTTCTACCTTTTGTTCATCAAGCCGGCACCACTCGGAGATCCATTTGTTTGAAGTTATTAGCCTTTTTAAACTCAATCCGCGTGGTCAAAAAGTTCATCTAGTAAGTTCATCTTGTCTCATGCACGCTATGTATGCCGTATCCGAGCGACATATATTCTCTAATTCTTTTTTTAACAAAAGTGAAGTTTAGCAGTAATGATATCGAAAGCATTTTATACAATATTAATGTATTAATAATTTCTCATGATTTTATATTAACCGTTATAATTAGTAAATTAGATAAATTATGTGACGATGCAATTTATGAAACATATTTGCAAAAGAACGAAAAATTGCCGAGCTGTTCCACTACATGAACAGATGACTCGAAATGAATTAATTTACTAATATGAATATTATGATATAAAATAATATATATACATTTATATCATTTATTCGATACATTTCTCAAACTTTATCGTGCTGGTACCGTTGTTCATTACGTCTATAAGTCGTTACTGGTGAAAAAAGAGATGAATGAGTGGAGGAAGAGGAAAGAGAGGAAAGTGATAAATAGTCAAAAGTGCATAAAATAGGCGGCGGAGTGCTGCAATATCCAGCAAGGTACCACAAAATTACGTTGAAAACTTTTTCGGATTTTTTAATTTCAATGAATTTTAAGGTTGCACTTTTCATTTTAATGATTTTAAAAATATTAAAAGTGAAATTGTTTCAGTTAATTTAAATCATTTAAATCCCTTAAAAATATTTCTTGAATGCTTAATAATTTTTGAATTTTTTTTGTTCGAAAATTGAAATAATAAAAAATTTATTACTTTATGGTTTTTTTAAAAATTTATTTTTGTTTTTTAATCATATTATTACTTTTTATTATTTGCGATTTATTTTTTATCACTGTATTTATTATATATAATTTCATTTTCATTTCATATCGTTTACTGTCGCCCTGATAATTTTGAACAAAAGGCGATCATGCAATTAATTGGGTCATTTATGAAATTGAGGCTGTTTTTTGGTGCCTTGATTTGTAGCTGCATAATAATACAGGTTGGCTGATGTGTCCTGCATTTGCTCTGATTGTCGTGATATCTATGTTTGATTAGATTGAAAAGTATTCGACGATTTTAATTTTTTTGGAGGCAATTTGAGTGGTGAATTTTGATACGCAGTGGTGTGTCGTAGTAAAGTTCAATCCTGCAGATAGATCCCCATTTTGCGGCCGCACCTCAAGATTTGCAGATAAATTCTTGAAGAAATTGGCGAAGGCCGATTCCAGAACTTGAGCAGATTTAGCAAGAGAACTTGATCTTTCACAGTAATACCTCCGTGCAATGGAGAAAAAGAGAATGACAAATTGAGACGAATTAGCTGGGCATAAGTTTGGAATGCGTTGTTCATGTTAAAAAGTGGCCATTTCTAATGAATTTTACTTGCGATGAAGTATGAATTTTATTTGATAGTGGGAAAAGATCGACGAAATGGTTGGACAAGGATGAATCCCCTCGATCCGTGCCAAAATCTGATTTTTGTTTGCCATAGCCACTTTTTGGTGATCTGCTGCAGGGATAATCGACTGTGACTTCTTAAAACCTGATGCACCATATGGAGAGTTGCACATAAAAAATTGGAAAAAATACACCAGAATCTGCGAACCAGCGCTGCTCGATAGAAAAGGTCCCGTCATTTTACATGATAACAATAGACCGCAAGTCGCAGGAATCTCTTTGAGAAATTTCGCGAATTGAATATCGAATTCCTTTCCCGTCCATCATATTCCCCCCACCTTTAACCAACAGGCATTCAGACAACTGACAACTTCCTCAAATGAAACCTTCCCGAGAACAAGAGGAACCCTAAAAAATGTTTTCTAGCAGTTCATTGGTGAAAGAAATTCGAGCTTTTATGCGAAGTAACATTATGGTAAATTTATGCGTATCACGTTGTCTGCTTATTCTGAATAATTTTAATTTTCCATATCGATTTTCCATAAACTTATGGCTTTGCCGAATTTTGAAACGACCTAATAAACTTTACTTGCGTGGATAATTTAAGCATTGCTTCATTGCTTTGCATTTCTATTGTCTCGACAATTGAACATCCTGTCACGATTCTGACCTGCTTGGATGTCCCGTTACGATCCTGAACTGTTGTCACGACACAATTCCAGTCACTTTAACACCAAAAATTGGCCTCAACCATTGATCATATTCAATAGTGATCGTATAAAGCTATGATTTAAAAACAGCCAAACCAAGCTAAGCTGGGTCATGGGTCAGGTCTTGAAGCGATTTTTAGTTTACTGTATTTATCTCTAAAATTTTGTAAAATTTTTGAAGTTTTGATGAAAGACTTGGTTTTGACTTTTATTTTTTTCATTTTCGGGATTTTATGATATAATTTGATTAGAGAAGCCTTCGAAATTGCATTTTATTTTAGAAAATAGATCTTTTACAATGATTTCATCAAATAAAAATGTTTATTTCTCGACGAATAAAAATAATTAATTTTTATATTATAATTAAAATGATTATTAAAACAGCAGAATTCTCATAAAGGAAACCAATTTCTTGTTTTCTTCCAGTAATTGGCAATCAAAATGGCTGTGCTAAATATAAGGAAGAAATTACGAGCGGTTCGATACGGTGCACCGCCGATCACTCATTGTTCCATCGTCTTGGCCCATATATCGCGTTAGCATATATACGCGGCCATATGTTCAAAATTTCGCCGACTCCACTAGTCCAGTTTTTCATCCTTCGCCTTCCTGCATCCATTATAAGACTAGCATGTTGCGAGGTAATAGCTAACAAAAAGCCTAACTGGTGTGGGCGACGCGCTTTGGTGATAATCCAGATGGAACGACGGTGCATGCAAGTGATTGTGTGAGATTCATCTGGGGAATGCGTCTTAGATCTAAGATTTTCAAAATGGATGACTCCTTAATATGGCTCATTCTCTTTGACGATGCTTCACAGCCTTATTAATAACAAGATCGTGCAGCTTTTATTTTGATTGTTTTAGCCGAAAATAATTTCTTTACTTTTTTTTATTGATTTTGAAGGTTTTTTCAGGCTTATAAATTTGAAAAAAATTTTGAGAATTATTAAAAGTCACTTTTTTTATTTGAAATACTTGCGTTTATTAAAATATTTTTCTTTAATTTCTGCTTTTTAAAATACAGATTTGCAGTATCAAAAAATTCTTTTTCCTGAAAAAATTCGCTTGAATTCACAAGTTGTGATGACATTGAACTTATGCAATCACGAAAAAGATATAAAATCTGCATATCAAACGGTTATTCGATGTCCTGAAAACTGGTCTGTCTTTTTTTTCTAAATTGGTTTTTTTATAATTTTTGATTATATACAGTATGTACAGTATATAGTCATGTACTATAAATTTAGCTATACGACTTTTGGTTGGAGCACGGCGATTCCCACTTCCAATATCTAGTTTTACAAAATTGCTCCGGGAATCCGCTCCACTGTGAGATGTATAGATTTAACAAATTTTCTGCCACACGGGATTTCTATTTTATTAGCAATGTTATAAATTCTACGGCCAGCATTCTCTTGATGATTATCTTGCTGCGAACGTTGGAATCTGCAAACTTGGGTGATTAAAAATTTATAAGTAACGTCACAAATATATACCAAGAAAGCAAAACAAAACTGCTATTTCACTGCACATAATACATTACGTAAAACCGAAAACCTAAAACCGAACATGAAAAATTATACAAATGCCCCTTCTCTCTCCACTCCTTTTTCCAACAGAAGCCCAAATTGACCAAAAATGATCTTTTGGGAGCTTATATTTAATTTGAGATGGGTGGGAAGATTTATGGTTTTTAATTCTCTCACAATAAAAGCTATATTGTACCTTTCATGTCTTATGAGGTACTCTGCTATTATTCTATGATATTTTCTAATATTTTCTCCAACTCCCTTGTTTCATTAATTATTTTGCTGGGCGTAGCAGATGCGATGCGGATGACCTACCCATATTTATAGCTTTTGTTGCCATTCGGCGACAGTTACAGATTATTGATTTGTAAAATTTAAATTAATATAAATGATGAAATAATAATTTAATAGATTACTTGTTACAAATTATACATTAAAGGGCACATAAATGATTAAATCTGTGAAATTAATTATTTTTTATTTGAAAAAATTTATATTTTAATTTTTATTTTAATTTAAGCACAGATATCCGATAGTTCTCTTTGGTTAAAACTAAAAGATAATGATTTTTTGCAGGTTTTCATTAATATGAATTTAGGTTAATCTTGGATTATGAAGGCAATTCGAATGTATTAAAAGTCGCCGATGGGGGAGGTGAGGTTTTATAATTAGCTATTTAAGTATTTTCCACAAATTTTTTGTGAAAACTTTTGTAATCAGTTTTTTATTGAGTAAAATTTTTTTTAAAATACCTCTTTTTACATCTTCATATGTCCTCTTAGATGGTGGTCTAGAAGAGCTCGTAAATAATTTTACTATTGGAAAATTACAATATGGAATTATATCTATGAGGATTAATGCTGCATCTCCTCAGTCCAAAATCATTATGATTCAGTGGGTATGTTATCGTGAAATTTTTTACTGCGTTAATTTTCAGTATTAAAGAATATATAAAATTTATATCTTTTTTCAAGATATCCATTTTTGATTTTCAAAAGAGATTCATTTATACTTGATTTATACCTGATTTGTTTATACTTATTTTTTGATTGTTTTTGTTTTTTTGTTTGCTGTTTTCAAAAAAAATTATTTATCAAATTTAATTTGTAGAGTGGTGGGGTGCCTGCATCAGGTTTGGCCTATACAGCCAATCATGCCAATGATTTGAAACGTTTTCTTCGTGGAATACATGTGGTTAGTCTGCTTGTTTTCAATTTTTTGATTTAACATTAACATTATTATTTCATTACTGTTATTACTATTACTTATTGTTTTATTAATATTTATTAATATTTTATTATTCATTATTATTATTATTAATTATTGTTATTAATTATTATTATTAATTATTATTAAAATAATTAAATTGATTATTATCGTTATTATTTATTATTATTATAATTACTATTATTATTATAACTATTATTAACCTGTCATTCAAAAATCCGTGTGGTGTTTGTGACTTATCTATATTTTTGTCGCTATGGGTACATTTCTCCCTAGTACATTTCGTTTAGTTCAAGTCAGCGGAGCAAGTATAACCAGCAGTGATGATTGCTTTTGGAAAAAAATTATTATTTATCATTTGTTATTGTTATTAATTATTTATTATATTATTAGTTATTATTATTGTTGTCATTATGAAAACCTTTTAAACCGTTATCAAAGAAAAATTGTTAGAAAAGGAATCTGCAGAAATTTAATTTCATCAGGTAATTAACGCTACTAGCGATGATGATGTAGACTATGATAGTATTTTACGAATTCTAAATAAGTTGCCTGGTGTAAATGATCAGATAGTTGCTGATCAGATTGATTCTCGCCAAGCGGCTGTTGGAAGTGTTTATTCTCCAGTCAAACCGCAGAGGTCATATTTTATGCACTTATTTCATTTTTTTCCAAAATTTTCTTTCTTCTCTCGCATTTCAACAACCAAAATCTCCCTGGCAATATACTTGCAATAATTATATATTAATCTTTTAATTTTCAAATGAATCTCATTTTGAAACAGTTGAAGTTACTATTGAAATCCTTACAAATCGTTAAATTCAGTTTATAAATTACTCAATCATTTTCTTTCAATATTATCATTTTTAGAGATTTTGACGTATCAGATCGAGAAGAGTTTTGGAAGAGAGCGGATGAAGAAGAAACGAGCCGACGAATTGAAGAAAGGCAGCGTGAAAATGCAAAAAATGCCATTGCAACTGAAGAAAACAATAAATTAAGCAGGGAAATCCACGAAAGATTTCACTGGAATGAAGATCATATAAAAAATGAACGTGGTATGAAACATGAAATTATGAAATTGTGGTGTAGAAGTAATTAGGTAATAATAAACAGAATTGTTTCATGGTTCAGGCATTTTAGGATGGTTATTGTATAATAAGAAATTTAATTTTTTAGATCCAAAAGTTAAAAGGACTTATGCTTCGCAATTAAAATATTTTTAGGGAGTACTTCTACGAGTTCTAAAAATGTTCAGGACTATGAAGACTTTGGTGAAGATGCTAGCACGAATATAGTTGGCAATCCTGGTCAGTTATTCAACTATTTAATGGGAGAAAAAAATTTCAAAAGCATTTCAAAACCAGGAAATTTCCTTTCGTTTCTTCATTTTTTTTCTTTTATTTTACTTTCAATAGAAACATTAATATTTCAAGTATTTTCAATAGAAAAACAATATGAAGGTGATGGTAATATGGGAAAACAAATACGCAATGAAATTAGCAACAAACTGGATAATATTTATTCTGAAAACCATAGATCTACTGGAGATAGCTCAGGTTTTTCAATAATTATTTTTTAAAAAATTCTGGTACAACAATTATTAGAGGAACAGTTAATCAAAAATGTGTTTTATATTATTTGAATTATATATTATATTATAAAATATTATAAAATGATATATAAATGATATAAATGAATTGTAAAATGATAAATGATAAAGTAAAATATGTGAAACGCGTTTATTTTATTCGAACCATTTTTTGAATTTCTATTAATTTCTGTAATCAATAATTTGAATCAAAAAGCATGTAGTTAATATCGGCATTTTACAGATTCACAAATGGATCACAAAAATAATACTTCTGGTTATCAGATTAATCAAAATTTAATTGCTAATTATGGTTTGCGTGCTGTTGCACTGTGGGATTATCGTGCAGGTTTTTTTTTGTCGCTCTTTTTATTTATATCTTTTACCTTTTTGTTGCTATTTAATATAATATAAAGAATAAAAAGCCTACACTTAAAGGCATAACCAAGTAGCTGGTATTGTACAAGAATATCTGCTGGTATGGCTTCGGCATCTTCTCAAGACTAGATGAAAGATTTCCTACAAAATCGTGGAGAATAATGACAAGATCTTGTGGAGCTTCTCTGTTTAGGCAATGAACTGGGTATCGTGGTAGTAGATAAGAATCAGAAATCAGCACTGGTGATAGATACAACAGTACCAAATAGATATAACAGAAACATTAGGGAGGAGAAATGTGAGAAGCTAGAGAAAAGCTAGCTAAAACTAGCTATGATCCTAAACTAGAAAACTAGATCTTTAATAGATTCCAGGAATAGCACCAGAGACCTCTGTCCAGAAGAGCGCAATGTTAGGAGTAGCTAAAATACTGCGTAGAACCTTCAAGTTTCCAGTTCTCTTTTAAATGACTGGAGGCTGAGGACAATACTTATCACCCACAGGTTGTAAAAAAGGTTATATATATTATATAATATATTTCGTATATTATATAATATCTGTTTCGCAGTATTGCATATATTTTATGAAATATCATTTTATAAATTTTATTTGCCTGAAGACAAAGATGTTTGCCTGTGGAAATACATTTTGGCAAACAATATGGTATGCTTATGAATTCCTTATTCTTATTTTGAAATTTTAGCTATTCTTCTCTTGATCGAATTTCTTCGGTAATATAAAATTATTAATTTATTTAGATAGAAATTCTGCCATAGCTTCTTTCAGCTGACGAAACGGAAATCACTTTCGATCCTGATGATATAATATCTGAAATTGAACAAATAGACGAAGGTTGGTGGCGTGGACGCGGTCCAGATGGACGTTATGGTCTTTTTCCTGCTAATTATGTTGCAATGCTCAATTAATTTGGGTGATGTTTTTATTACATTTTGTCCAAATAGTCATTTCATTCTTCATTCATTCACTTTCATTGTTTTTACTTCAGTTTTTTTAATACTGCGAAAAATTACGATGTATAAGAAATATTCAGTTTTTTTTCATTTCCTTCACAAATTTTCAATGGGTGATATTATTTGTATGCTTGAATTTGTGTTTAAATTTTATGAGCATATTTTTAGGAAACGTCTTGGCCTTCTTTTATAGCAAAAAACTTCTGATAGAAATATTCTGATCTACTTTCATGGCAAGAAAAGCGTCAGAAATGATTTCAGTTTTTTTCTTCATTCTGACCTTTAGGTTTTTAGTCCTTTAGAGACCTTTCACATTCCTATTTTTGAGGTATTTTTTTTCTATTTCTACGTATTTTACTAGAAATTCCTATGTATTTTTCATCCATTTCGAATTTTTTTACTCATCGTAGATCTTTAGATTCCCATTTTTTATTTTTTTTATCGACTTTATATAATCTATTCCGCAGTATTGTATTGCATATATTTTTTAAACATCATTTCGTTATTTTTCAATCGTTTTTTGTTTAACAATTTCGTTTTTTGATATTATTTTTTGGGTTGTCTTTTTTTTATTTCTATTAATTTATTTCACCAATTTTAGTGATAATTTTCTAATTTTTATTGAAATATCACGTTATTTTTCAGCAGTTTACTTTCTGTATTTGCCAGATCGGCTCACTTAAGCTGTGATAAGCCAAAGGTTCCAAAGTACTCGAAGAGTTCCCAAATTTTTCATAAGTTATTTTGAATTATCTTAAAATCATTTTTATTTTGAGTTTTTTTATTTTATTTTTCACCTGTTTATCTTTTAAATGTTTCTTATTTTTTTATCATTAAGAGGTTGTTAAAGAACGTTGAAGAAACAAAAATTAATTTTGTCATTTAATATTTTCAGTATTTAATGTATCATTTAATATCTTTCTTAAGTTCTGGTAAATCCGATATTTTACTTTCCGAAAAGTTTATTCTGGAAAAATTTTATGTTTAAAAAAAATCTCCAGAAGTTTGTCAAGGGTACAGTTTTCGGATTTGGCCTCTTATATTCAATTCTCATATCATCTTATCAATAAATTTTTTATTGTGTTTTCGTTATAACCAAATATTGCCAAACTTTTGTGCTTTTGTGTTTTATTTTTTGTTTGTCAGTGAATAACTTTACTACGCCGTTAATTCTCTTACCTTTTCGCATTTGGATTCAAAATATCAAAATTTTATTGCAAAGAGGTCTTTTCATATCATTGTTTATTAAGAAAGGCCACCGAAAATTGAGATTCGAATCCGGCCGATGTATCAAGTCGGGCGGCATTTGCCGAAGAACGCAAAGGAGAATGGCTCAGTGGTTTGCTACTCGATTTGGATAGCAGATGCTGAGATATTTATCGTCGCGAGAGGATAAATCTATCCAGTTAATCCGATTAGTGACATAGCTCTATCACTGAAAGACTTCCTAGCATATTTTTCTAAACCGACCAGCGATGAGAGTTTAACTAGGAATGGTGAATGCCATTTTAAAAAAAGTGAAATGTTAAAAGTTCTCGCTGGTGCTTATTTTATGGGCCCACAACTAAAGCCAGTTGAAAGCAATTTTTTATTCAAAGTAGTCGTTACAATCAACAGCTTTTACATCTTCGACTTTTATATTTGCTGAACTGAAATTCCATTTGGATCAGCGAACTGCTTTGTGAAAGTTTTTTAGGTCCTCGTGTTTTGAAGGTATTTCTTTCCAGGGAAATTGTTGAGCTATCGATAGAAATGATAGTCTCTGGGCGAATAGTTTGGAGGAATATGTTCGATGGGAAATGAAATTCATTTCGGCCGTGTTTTCACCAGATTTCAAAATGCTATAATGGATCATTTCTGCATCAGACCACCGAATGGTGAGACAGTTTTCTTCAAATGGAGGTCGGATTTTGGCGTTGATCAAAAAAGTTCGTCCAAAAGTGCAGTCATTCCGACCTTTTCTCTGTTGTACAGAATCAAAGCAATTCTGCTTCCCATTCCTAAAAAAGGTTATAGGACGTACTGCGACAAATATCGAGGAATCAGTTTACTGGACATCTCCAGAAAAATTATCGCTTCCCTTTTGCTAAATAGACTCATGACAACACGAGATAGCATCCTAACTAAGCTGGCTTCAGACCGGGACGCGATTATGCTGACCACATATTTACGCTAAGTGGTGGAACATTGCTTCAAATACCAGCAACCCACCGTCACTTGTTTTATCGATTTTTTCAGCTGCTTTCGATTCGATTGGTAAAACTGCGCTCTGGAAAGTGATGGAAGTTAACGGTATTTCGGAGAAGATCATTCGACTCATAAAGGCATTTTATCAGCATAGGCGCAAGTCTGTATGTGAGGAACTGACAGACTCTTTTAAAATAAAAACTGGTCCGTCAGGACTGCGTCCTTTTCCCCACAATATTCAACTATGCGATAGATTGGATAATGGGCACCGCTTATCGGCATTCAAGGGGAAATCAGTCCAGAGCATCGTATCATAGATCTAGAATACGCTGATGATATAGTCCTTTTTGCTGACAGTTTTGTAGAAATACAAATAATGCTAAATAATATATCAACGAGAAATGGGCTCAAAATTAATGCAAATAAAACGAAAGTATTTTCGTTTTATTTACATTAATTTGCTGATAAAATGATGCTGATGAAATACCTATTTTTATCAATTCGCTGCCGGTTGAGGAAGTGCTGGACTTTAAATACCTTGGATCCACTCTAATCCCAAATGGCTAGGCAAAGGATGAAATCGTAACGGCAGCTAGAATTGTGTTTTCCGGTTGATAAAATCTTTGTGGAATCGTCGTGAAATCACCATAAAGACGAAAATCCGCGTCCATATAGCTCCAATTCGTTCTATATGGCCAATGGGAATGGGGGATATTAAAAAGCTATTAGCCTTTGACCACTCATATCTAAGTTATTTTCGGATCCGTCGAGCTGATAAAATCGCACATGATTGTATCCATCTTCACTCAAATACCATCTGTGTTAATATTTTTATTACAAAGCGTGGCCTTTGTTTGTTAGGGCATGTTCTCCTTCGTCCACCACAGGAGTTGACGCATATTTCGTCACTTGCTAAACCGTGTGATGGATGGCGTCAAAAGCGAGATGGGCCAATCAAGACCTGGACTGATACAGTCAGGAAAGATTTCGAACGTATTGTTTTTATTGTGGAGGATTGAGGCTATTGGGAAGGGATTGGCGAGATTTAGTATATGAGGTTGGACAGGCGAAAATGACTTGAAATGGAAGGGATGCGGTTAAAAATTGTTGGTCTAGTGGCTTGGTTTGTATCCAAGCAGGCTATATTATAATATAAATTTATAAGCAATAAGGTCGAAGAGAAAAATTAAGAACAAATGAAAGAGAAAAAAAAGAAGCCTAATATCCCATACATAATTAAAAACATTTTCATTGACAAAAAAACATTTTGTGTGAATAGCATGCAGCGCATAATTATGTTTGAATAGATGTGAGATTTGGTATGATAAATTAGGTTTTTTTTTGGGCATAAAAAAGGAAATGGAATTTAAGATTAGTGTGCTGATTCACAGCATTATTTGAGAAATTTAATTTGTTTTTTTTTTGTGTTCGCCTTTTGCGACACATATAAGGGGACCAGCGATATATGGACTTAGATGATGGAAAAAGGAATGGCTTCTATTACTACTAGCGATGGCGTCGGACCGAGCAGCTTGGAGACATCTTACTCTTATAGCCAGCGGAGCCAGCCTAACCAGCAAGATTTAGAAAAAGAAAGATTTCTGCATCAGACTAACGAATGGTGAGACATTTCTTCGAATGGAGGTCGGGTTTTCGCGTGGATTAAGGAGGTTCCTTGCACAATCATTTCGACCTTTTCTTTATTGTACAGGATCCGATTTTCATCGTAAATAAGAATTCCAGAAAAGTTCCACTCTTTTGTCGTATTAGCAGCGAACAATAAGCATCCCAGTATGCTTTCGTCTGGTGCTTACTCAATTCGTGGAGTACCCAATTTTTTCCCACTGCACGCAAGTATTTTGTGAAAGATCAGGTTTTTGTGTTAAATTTACCCAACTTCTAGGAACAATGTCGTCAGTTCTTTCAGAAATCCATCTAAAAAGCTCGAGACGTATAGAACAATCTGCAATTTGTGGTATCTACGAGATGCAGATTTCTAGGAACTATTTTGTTCTTTATTTAGGTGCATCGTCACTAAATGCTATTTGCATATTGCGAGTTGCTCCTGTCGTTTAAAGCATCAATTTAAATTCGTGAAGTACCTTATCTCGAAAATCACTTGGTTGCACATAAAATTTGATCAAAGTTGATAAATTAGCTAAAAAAAATTGAAATCTGCAATGAAAAAAATTGAAGATCAGAGCAATCAACGATGTATGTCAGCCAACGTAGAATTGCAACAAAAATAAGGATCCGAAATCCAGATACCAAAGAAATGGAATGAACTTTTAAAGATCCAAGTGGTTCTGACTCCCAATTATATTTTAGGCAAGCGAAAAAATTTCGAAATCAAAATTATCAAAAGTTTCTATTAATAGCCAACGGAGTCAATGATGAGATCTAACCACCTATTAAATTTTTTATTGTGTAAATTAAATGATGACTGGAGACTGGCTGACAACAAAGTAGTTCCAGAGCAGAGAGAGTTTTAAATTATGGAAAATTTTTGATATCGGTCATTATCAATTAGATAATTTCTTATTCTACCCGCAGTTTTTGGAAAATTTTTTTCAGTTCGCATCGCAACTAGTTAGGAATTAACCGACTTGATTAGTGATTTATGGAAATTCTGAACAAAAATAATTTTTTCTGGATGGTCGAATCGACTATTCGTTGAAAAAAATCATTTCCAGTAAAAAATGGAAGAAAACAGAAGTTTAAGCTTAAAATATCAACATACCAAATGAAATATGAAATATTAGATAACAAACTAATTGTATTCAAATCTTAATCTTAAATGAATGAATAAAGAGTATTTATTCATTAAGAGAATAAAGAGTAAGAGATTAAAGTGGAAGCACCGCACTAAATATAAACTTATCCAGAACCTTCATGTGGTTTTGCGATTAGGTACTCGCAACAGCCTTCATGTACTAATTCTCTAATCCTTTATTCTTTATGTGATTTTTGAACTCAAACAAACATTTTATTGGCCTTTTTATTGTTTATTACTTCAAAGTTAGTGTGACTTTGGCCTTCTTTATTTATTCATATCGCTAAAAGGAACTTTGAAGAGAACTTTGAAGGAACTTTGCTTGAATAAAAATTTATTGGAAAAAAAAGTTAATGAAGTTCATACAATATTTTATACATATTTCAAGTGATTGTATGAAATAAGTTCTTTCAAACATTTATTCATTTATGAAATTCCATTTGTTAAAAAGACTTTTAGTTTTCTTTTAAAACTAAGTACTGCCTTTGCATCACACATCACTTGGAAATTTAGTAATTGATAGTTCGGATAATTCATAATTCTTAGTAGGAGATTCTTAATTTTTTGCCGATTAGCATGAATAATTTCTCATCGCTTCTCCTCGTTTCCTCGTTATGATTTGCCGTTGATCAAACAAAAATTAAACTATTTAAACAATCCAATCTGATATAACCATGTGAAATTTTGTAATTCGAATTTTGAAATAATTAATGCCAAATTTAATTAAGACGATTTGTTTCTTTTGTATAGTGCAATGCTTTTCGACTAAAGCATTTCAAGATGAGAAACGAGAAAAATATCAAAAAATCACAGAACAAATCGATGTAAATTTGCCTGGTCTTTGAAAATTTATGAATAGAAGAATAGAAAAGAGATGATTATTTGAAATGTGAAAAACGAACTGCGAAATTAAGAACTTGATTTGTATTGCCTCGAAAAGCGACGTTCAAACTTCTGACCCCGATCCGCCAAGAGAAAACCTTTGTTAATTTAATCGATTCTTTGCTTATTCCATTTTCATATAAAAGATTAAAGTCAATTTCTAGTTGTATATTCTTCTCAAGAAAGTTGTTCTTCTTTTCTTATTGTGTAGTCATCAAGAACCATTCCCAGTATTTCAATATTTCGCTCCTTTGTTATATGTCCTCTTTTGTATCTCTTTAATATCCTCTATGTTATTTCGTCATTTCTTATTTGTTCTGGGATAGTGTTTTTAATCTTTGGATTTAATTTGTTCGAGTTTGTTTTTTCTTTTATGTATATTACTGAGGTTCCATTCATAATAAAACAAATTTTAACGGTGTTTTTCCATTTAATTTCTTACCATTCATTGCAAATAAATTCATAAATTTTAGAAACTATTGTAATAATATCGACCGATGTACGATCAAATTCATTTGCGACTGTTGGAATCTTTCTTCTAGTTATTCCACGATCATTATTCGATGCGGTGACATTCACGCGATGTTCTCGTTTCTCGTCTTGTTGCTTTCCGTTCTCAATTCTGTTTTTTGTAAGTCATTCTGTACAATAGAATGCTGATATTTTTGACCGATTTTAGCCGATGTTTTTTCCTTCATTTACTTATCACTCAGATATATATATCGCGTTTTCTATAGAATATACTCGTCACTGAAACCGTAACGGTATATTAGCATACATTAGCATTATGTGGTAGTAATGGTGTGATTTTCTGCTTCATCAGTGGCACCGAATATTTTTTTTGATTTTTTGATTTGATTTTTTTTTCATTGGTACTGTTCTCGCACAGGGTCGCTTGGAAATAGAAATGCAAATAAAACCACCACCAGCAGTCACCGAACACCAATGACCACTGAGCACTTAGATGAAAAATTTTCGAGATCCAGCTTTTAATTTAATTTAACTTAACTAAGGACATTTAAATTAGATTAGATTTGTAGAAAAATTCGTAGAAATTTAAAGGACAAGATCGGCGTCGAATTAGGTCAAGAAAAATAATTTCATTATTTAATTCATTACCAAACTTAATTCATTTGATTAACTAGTATAATTAATTAATTAATTAATTTGATTCACTGATTAATTTACTTGCTTTTTAAAAAAAACCACAAAAAGTTATTGAGTCAATGAAAGAAAATCGAAAAAATTTCCGTAAATATTAAATTGTAAAATCAGCGCATAAAATGATATTATTTACGTTGTTTTACAAGTTATCCCATTCTTTAGGTTATTACTAGTAACAGATTTTTAAGTGAAAGAATTTGGCCTAAAAAAATTGAAAGAATATACAAACATGTTTTTATAAAATAAAATTTAGTGGAACAAACCGGTCAGAATCTTATTGATCTCAATAAATGTTTCATTTATAAGAAGGGATACCGACTGGAATTGAATGCGAATGATATCGAAAGCACTGAAAGCGTACGATTTAAAGATGATTGTCTTCGGGCATGCCTTAAGGCAATGTTTTCCGGCGGTTTTACTTGCAAATCATTAATGCACATGCCAAAAGACGATGTATGTTGATCTTTTTGAAATAACTTTACAAATATTTTAAAATTTCTTCCAAGTTGAACTTTTGATTATTATTTGATTATTGATTAATAATTATTTATTTATTATTTATTATATAATTAGAAGTTTTCATTATTGCCTATACAATTTTAATTTCAGTTTTTGTCTCTCCATTCATTCAAGATATTTCCTTTTCCAACAGTCATTTTTGGTTTAGCTCACTTGACTGGTTTCTAGAGTGGGTCTTTTCCTTAGAATCACTTTAAGATGCCGGATCCTTAGTCACCCAGATTTCGATTTTATCGACAGCATTTCTATCAAAAAAACCAAGAAGGGAAATGTATATCGCTTGTTGTTAATCACAACAACATGGCTATTTTGCTCCATTTTTGATTTTTGATTAATCGATGTACTGCGGTGAATTTTATATATTTTAGCTCAAATTTAACTATATATTTTGAATTCATTAAGGACTGGAAGAAGCATTAAATAATATCTGATTTATCTGGTCCCGTATTATTAGGTTATTGTTGATATGGACTTTTTTCTAAGAGAGAGTTCTAATAGTTCTCACCACTGCTCCATTGGCTTATTGCATCAGACAAATTTTACCAGAGATTCATTAACTGGATTTCCAAGACAGGTTTACTCTTGATCCAGATCATCTCTGCTCCGAACGACAATCCACTAAGCCATTCTACCTCCTTTTCCTCTTGCTTTCACCGCTCAGCGACACTGCCGCTCGATGAGGTGCATCGGTCGAATTCGAACATTGATATGGGCCAGAAGAAAGTCAATGACATCTCTTCAAATTTGAATCTGAACAATACTAAAAGTTGAAAGCTGAACAACACTAAATGGATTGAAAATTTGTGAGATTAAAATGATGTCTCATAATTTTTTATTCGTAGCGTCATTAACTGTTGGAACAGTTTGCGTATTGAGATAATTTCTGCACTATTTCCCCACAGTTTGCAATTTTAAAAATAATTTAAGCATAAATATTTTGACTAATAGCTTTTGAAATGAAATTTTAACGAGGACTGGAGTAAATCGAAAATACAAAAAATTTAAAGCTCATGGAACGGAAATGAAATTTCTATCATTTTGCTTAATTCGGCCCATCTCGCAGATCACTTTTTCTTTAATGTAACCTACCCTGACCTTAGCGCTGCTTTGAAATTATTTGAACTTTGAAAATTATTATACTTCTCTTCGAAATGGCGCAATAATATCGAATATTGTTCAGGCAATAATAATCGTTGATGAAATCCTATGATCTGAATAATTACAAATCGATTTATCAATATATCACTGGCAACTTTGAAACAAATTTCAGATAAAAAGATAATTTCAGATAAAAGACGATATAATTTGATTGGTGATCTGCGCCAATTACTATCACTTCAAGCTATTCCAGTCTGTAGACAGCCAAAGCAATGTATTAATGTCTTATGAATGAGGTCATGCGAAAATCCAATGAGATTTTTTTACCACTGAACAAAATTGGCACTCGCATGGTATTAAAAAATAACGAATTATCGAAACACGATTATTCTCCAAAGAGGAGGTAGACCGACTCTATCCACATGAAATATGTTTATTCCTAACAATACATCGAGTAACCAGACAACTTTGAATTGTATCTCTTAAAAAAATATTTCAGTAGCAGAAGGCGTTATTTTCATTGCCAAAATGCAGAACCATAAGATTTCCTTCTACAGAAGCTTAATAAGACGTTTCTTATTAAAATTATTGGTTTACTGTGAAAAATAACAAATTTGTAATTTGAATAAACCACGCATCACGACATCAATATCGACTGATCTCAGACTGATTGACAAACGGTGCTGTGGGAAAAATAATTCATGCTAGAAGGTAGCAAGGTAGAAGGGTGTGGAGAAATAACTCCCTATCATTAGACTTTCCTGATTCATGCAAAACTGGCGAAAAAGATCTTACTAATTCTTCTAACAGCTTTCACTATCACTGGTTACGCTGGCTACAAGGATAAGACGCCTTCAAACTATCGATCCGACGCCATCACTGATAGTAGTAGAAACTATTCCTTTTTCCATCGTCTATGTCCATATATCTTTGGCCCCCTATATGGTCAAAATCTTTCCTGTCTGTATTAATCCAGGTTGACTGGCTTCGCTATCCATCACAAGGTTTAGCAAATAATGTCAACTCTTGTGGTGGACGACAAAGAATGGCTAGCAAAGATTGTATGATGGTTAATGCGAATGGTAAGGTGGATGCTATCATATGAGATTTTATCAGTTCGACTGACCCGTAAAATGTGTTTTAGATAAGTAGTCAAAAGCACATAACTTCTCAATATTCTCCACTGTCATTGGTCATGTCTCGGAGCCAAATAGCAAGATCAAATGAATTGCAGCCATACAGATGCGGGCTTCCGTTTTTATGGTAATTACCTGACGACTCCATAAGATTTTCGCCAACCAGAAGAATACATTTCTAGATGTTGTTACAATTTCGCCTTTCAATTGGCCGCTTAAAATTAGGATGTATCCAAAATATATTTAAAATCTGCACTTTTTTAATCGGTAATGAATAAAAATAGGTATTTTATCAGTTTTAAAGATGTTAAATTTAATGCACATATATTTCTGCCTTTATCTTTTCATTAATATTAATTAGTAAACCTAAATTTCCATATGTTATTTAATTATTTGCCAAGATTAGAATTGCAAATGGCCCTTATTTCGTATCGAGCAAACATCTTGCTACTGCTGCTGGCAAACGGTACTGGCGATCCACATATAGTTTTGTCTCTGGAAAATATTTCTTACCATGTTAACAGTCGGGAATGAGCCTAACCAGATGCATTGGTCACTAGCTACTTATTTTTTATTATAATTTTTTATTAAATGAACTAAGAAATTGGTATAGATATTTATGTAAATATCGAATATTTCAATAATTTTGGTATTTCATCTTGACATTTCTTTAAATTGAAATTTTGTATTAAATCAAAATATTTAATGTATTTCATGAATGATTCGTTATAAGAATGTTTAAAAGAAATTCCATCATCAACTTTTAACGAAAACGAATTTTATTATTATTGCATTCATTTTAGCGAATTTTGAACCAGTTTTTGAGCAATTAATATTAAAATTCTCTTTTCTATTGACTGATTGACTAATGCTCTACGAAGATTTTATACAAAATAATAAATTTGTTTCTTGAAACATCAATGTCACCCATTGGATATTTAGATGAATAAATTTCTTCTTTTTGTTAGCTGCTAAGATGAGGTCTCTTCACAAGAATTGCTTGGCGATCATCTATAATATATGGAAATTGAAGTAGGGTCCTCTCCTTATTTCTTGTGGAGTATACGGACCCTCAACCTTGTTCCCCTCCCTATTATGAAGCACGGTATATAAGCTTTCAAACGATCTTGTGCAAAGACTCTCCCTGGAAATTGAGAAGGATTCGAACTCTTGTTACATTCCATATCAATCACCTTCCTTACCCACTATGTCATTGCTTTTAATAAATTTATGAAGATAGTTCATACATATATATGTATATATATATATATATATATAACATTTTAAAATATAATAAATGTAATGGTAATAAATGTTTTTAGGATTGCGTGCTTACGGCTGTCGATGGTCAAAATGCGATCTATACAGAGGGACGAAAAACTGAAATACCCGTGAATTTTTACGAAAATTTGTGCGCCAAGCCTCCTATTGCAGGTTAGAATTTAAGATTTTTGATAATAAAAAAATTTTATTCATTCCAAATTATTTCAAACTCTGATTTCCCAGTTTTAACATGAATAAATGAGGGAATTTTTTTCACAATTGTTAGTTTATCGATCTAATTCATTAAAGTCCTCCAACTTTTATACATACAATTTAGGAGGAATTGCAGGAGGAATGGTTGAAGTACAAATGCATGGATATCGTGGCGGTGAAGGAATGATTAGCATGGTGGAGAAGAAAGGGTACAATCCTCAAATATTTCTTGTTCTTGATGGGCTGAATGAAGCAAAGGTTAATTATATCATTAATAATTTTTCAAATTTATTAGTATTATTATTGTTATTATTATTATATAATATTATTTGTTCTCATAGAGCAAGGCGGAATATAAATATTTATAATATTTAAAATATTTTTTACGTATAACTCCAACTATACAACATCCCTGCAAAAAGATGACATGGTCATAATGGGAGAGGTGTGGGGGGAATGAGAATACATAGGACACGATGCCTGGTGAACTTGCTAATTGGCAAGTATGATATCGGGTCCTGATGCACCAATGAAGAACTTTGTTACCAATATTTTTCCGACATCGAAGAAGATATCGCGTGGAATTCCTTGAAACCAACGCTCCAACTAGATATATTGTATCTTAGTCGCCCTTGGAAAAGTTCTAGACAATCGCTCATATCGGTAATCTTCATGGATCATCTTGCAGTTCAAGCTAAGATCCGCATGAAACTGACAACTCGCAAGGTACAATACCTCCCAAGATTTTTCAGCTATCTTAAATTAAAAGATTCGGAGACAGCAGTAAAAGAATTTCAAATCAAATTATTATTAAAGCTCTGAATATAAAAATAAAGAAATGATAGGTGAATATTGGTCCCAACTAAAAGCATATCTCCGAAAGTTAGCCACTTCTGTACTAGGATATAGCCAGCAAGGAATGCACTAATTGGTTATTTGTCCAAATGTCGGAAAATGCTATCAAAATATGTCAAGAGACCGTGGTTAACGGATGCTTCGAAGAATTACATCTACAAGAGGCATAGCAAGTCAGAAATCGCTATCGGAGCACCTTGAATATGTGGCATAATGAAATAATATGTGGCTTTCCTTCTAATGAATAGACTTATGGCAATAGGATGAGGACGTTCTAACGATAGCTACTTCCCGCAACTAAACCTATCCAAAAATCTGGATGATGCTGACGAACTGCCTATACTTCGTTCGCCAAGATATTCCTTAGCATATTTGTCTAGCGGACAAGCCAGCGGAGCAAGTTTAACCAGTAATGCTAAGGGATCTTTAAAAAGAAATTCAATACAGCTTTTATTATTAGCAAAATTGTTCTTGCTGAAAATTGTTTTTCAAAAGCATATCGTGACGCTTACTGAAAGAAGAAAATGTATTTTTTGTCCACAATAGTTGCTTTAATTTTCATTCCACAAAAACTGGCCACAGTGCCATGTGCTTGTTGTATTACCTAACACACAACAACTGCAAACTAACTGGTTATAAGAAGTGAAGAATACAAATAGTTATACTAATTCTGCCGAAGGCTGCACCTTCATTTTTCAAAATTGGCTAGACGAATGCGTCGTAATAAAGTGCATCATGACATAACTCATTCTTTAATTAATAAGAAATTATGATACGGAATATTGGTCTTCGAACTCGATTTATTTCTGCTGAAATTATTAAATCAGAACACATAAAAAATCAAGATAGTGAGAACCAATCTAATGAGCTTTTAAATTTTGGAATTAATAGAAAAATTAAATTTTTATTTCCTTTCTAAGGAATATGATGTGCTTTACAACGAAAATGAACCAAAAGATTGCTTACATATGACTTCAAACGACAGAAATTTGGCGAAAAAGCTAATAACTATCCGTTCTGATTCAACGGGCATGGCTGTTCAGGTTTATTTCTTTCCCTTCTGCCTGATTACTTGATATAGGGAAAGCAAATTTTCATATTTACATTATTTTATCAGAAGAAGCCATCGCTACGGTGCATCCTTGCTGAAATAAAAGACTATTTTCAGCCATGGACCTCAGTTGATTTCCACATACTAACAGATTCGATTTTTAATAAAACAATTGCAATATTCGACACGATGACGAATGAAGCCGAACTCTGCGGTAAAATAAAAGTTAAGAGCAGCCTAAAAGACTGGGAATCAGCAAAAAATTTTTTTCCAGCAAAGATATCTCATTTCTTCATTTTTGCCTATTTTTCATTCATCCTTTTTATGCTACAGTAAATGAGAAATATTTGAATTTGAAATTCAGCTCATTTCTTATTTAAAATTATTAAGTTATGCCAACAATGAAAAAAAATTGGTGGCACGCTAACATTTATTTTTATTTATTTATCAGATATTTTTTCCAGTTTGCACCGAAAATTTATTTTTAAAAAGATGCATCGCCCTATCTGACGAAGTGAAAGGTAAAAGGGTAAACTTATAGTTGATACTCCAAAAAAGAGAACCATGAATTTGCAAATAATGAAAATTGTTAAGGATATATAAAATAAAAGCATCAACCAAAATAACGAAGGATCCTAGATAAACTAAATAAATCTATCTGCTCGTACGATCTAACAGTTTTAGTCAATCTGTTCACTGGTTACATGCCACACAAACAAAAACATTTTATTCCATTAAAATTTTGTTCAATACATTTCATTCAAAAATCAATATCAAAAATAAAAAACATTTTAAACAACAAATAATTTAATACCATTATTCCCGGGGCTATCTCGAACGATCTCGTGTACTTCTACTGAAAAATTACATTGAAGAGAAAAATCTAATCTAAGAAAAATAAAGAAGTTGGTGGAAAAAAGTAAAAACTTACGAACGATGAGATTCTCTGGTATGTTTCGAAGCACGTGTCACTTTCGATGTTGAAGATGATTTCTGCGCTGCCGCTAAAAATTTGCAATGCTAAATTATAAGTGATAAAATCTGTAGCAAATCTTAAAAATTTCTGAAATTTATGAAATTGTAACTAGCGACTTCTCATTTCGAAAATTATCTCCAACAACGAATTTTACCTAATAACTTTTACAAACTAAACAAATTGTTAAAAAATCGATAATGAATACTAAGGAACTAATAAGACGTTTAATCGGCTATAAAAAGACATCCACATGGTAAAATAGAAAATTTGAATTTTGGTACTACATACCTTTGGTTTCGCTGCCTTTCTCTAATGAATTTTCGTAACGAAGGACCTTAACGGCAGGTTGTTCACTGTAAATATATACTCCAACAGATAAAAATGAAACTTAGTTAATTACAAAAGACTTAAGAAAAATGATAGTATATTGCTTTCTTGAATACTGACTTTTTAAAATAACAGCCAAACATAATTCAAGCACATTAAATAAAATGACTAAAAAAATGCAATTATCACTCGCTGTGCTCATTTGGCCTTTTGTGCGTTTCATGATTCTTTTGATTTTCAATGTTCAGTCTCCCTTTCACCTGAAAATATAAAAAAAAACAAAAGTTACTTCTTGTTTTCGCTTCACTTTTTTCACTCTCAAATTCGTTCTAGTACTAAATGAAATAATTTAATTCAGATTAAAATATAGTTTTAAAAATGTTCCCAAATTTAGTTTTTTGGATATTTTCTACTTAAATGGAGCAAATTTTTACCCCATTTGAAGAACCACCAGAATCCTTTTTACGCCTTTCTTCCTTACGCTCCTCATGTTTTACTTTCTCTTTCTCTCGACGGAACAAATCATCTTCTGGATTTTTACTTGATCGGCTCTGAAACCATTTGAATGTCAAGGCCAAAATGATATATCTTTTCTAATGGTTCCTATTAATTTAGTGATTTTTTATCGTTCAGCCAACCTATGATTTTCCTTGGTTGGATTTTGTAAAATACACTTGCCGTTTATGCCTAAAACGCAGGCGGTCAATACTTATTTTAAAAATTTCTCGTAAATTCAGCGATAAATTTCGTTAATATGCATGTAACCGCATAATAAAAAATTGGAATAAGGTTACTAAGAAAGCTATTATCGCTGATGGTTTGCTAAAATTCGTCACAATTTTTGATATTTCCCACTTACAAAAACCTGTTGATTCATTGTCCACATTTGATCACACTGTTATGCTATTAATCTTTTCTCTCTCATTTTTTTCCCTTTAATTCAAGTTCATAATGCAATTTTGCATCGGAATTCTTAAATTCTACATTTTCTTTTAATTGCCAAAAAAAAAGAAATCGTTTAATAAGATAAGACAAAAATTTTATATTTTATGAATTATTTTAGCAACATTATCGGAAATTAGCAAGATATGAAAATGTCTTACAGATCTTGGTAAAGACTGTGGACTTGTTTCCACTTCGCCTTCTTCTCTTGAGAATAAATTATCTTTCTCCTTCTTTAATTCAGAACGCTTGATATCATCGGCAGTATTTACATGATGGGGAACCGAATCTTCTTGTTCTATAAACTGTCGAAGAAATTTTAAAAAAAAACACTTTAAAACTGCTCTTCCTCTCCTTTTTTCTGAAATTAATGGTTAGCCTGGTTCCACAGGTTGCAAAGGTGAGGTTTTAAGTTTTTCGATCGGAATTCAAATTTGAAAGCAGTAGAAGCCCTCCTTTTTCACAGTCTATGGTCATATATCACTCTACCATATATGCATTCAAAATTTCTCCTAACTATATCTTGATTGATCCTTCTTGACTCTTTTTGACTCTTGATAATTATACATGTAATTATAATTATATAATACTAAATTATAATTGGATAATATATGTACTTTGCTTTTTTTTCAAAGGTGAATCCGAAGAATCGACAGCACGCTTTCTCGTATCAACATTAATGTAAATTTCTTTTTTGACATCAAAAATAGTAGCTTCATCTGATTTTATATTATTTTGCGCATTTTCATTCAAATGAACTTCACTTCCTTTGAGGACTGACTTCTTTGTATCAGAAGGCTTGGGAACAGCACGATTTGGCTTTTTGACGGGCTCCAATCGCTAAATTTTTCAATAAAAATAGCAGTGCAAAAAGATTTCAACATTGCTACTAATTTCATAAATTTTTCAAAAGTTTTTAATTAGAATTTTGGTATTCTAGAAAATAATAACCACAGCAAAATAATAGCCAAAGATATAAAATCAAAGTTAATAAATTATTACATTATGGAATTGAGCTTCAGTAAAAACTTGAGTTTTTCGCATTTTTAAGTGGCCCAGATACGAAGCCGCCATTAAAGAAATATCATCGCGAGATCCTTTCTCTGCATCACGTACTTTGACCACACTTTTTTCAATAGTAGTGATATGATTTTCTATTAAAGGAAAATACGGGAGTACCTAAAATTTAAGATAATTTATGGGAAAAACCATAGAAAAACAGGAAAATTAATACCTTAATCATAACAATAAGACAATTTCTCAACAGAATATATCCGCTACCATCAAGAATACCGATGCATGAACGTGTCATTCGATATTGCCATTTATGGCAAAGTGTTCTAAAACCACAGAAACAAACGCATTAAATAATATGCCAGTGAAAAAGTCCTATATAATGTTTAATCAAATTTCCGAAAAAAAATGTAAAAATGTAAATGTAACTCTAACTCTGCTCTGTAATTTATAATAATATTTTAATGCAAAAGCAGAAAATCAAAATAAAAATAAATAATGATTAACTAAGGGAATTAAAAAAACATGATTTTAAATTTTTTCAAGCAAATGCAACAAAAATAAGCTAAATTACACCTGTAAGATTCATAGCTCATGCCATCATTGGATGAATCGCCAGTATTTTCCGCATTTCTAACGTGAAGCTTAGTCATGAAACCAGGAAATCGATAACATTCCTATAATGCTATGATAAACCAAAGAGGATAATTAAGTCGCTATAAGAATTCTTAATGACAGAATAAAAAAATTAAAATATTTTTCATCCAATTATTAGTTTCAAAAATATAAATTTGAATCTAGAACATTGCAAATTATAGAAAAAAACTTTATCAAAAATTGATCGATCAGAATGCCATTTCTGTACAGTTTCGAGAATCAATGAAACAAAACGTCCAAAGCAATTGGCTTCATTTTCAGAAAGTGTTGCCAAAATAATGCCTATATCATTGAATAACTGAAAAAGAAAAATTAAAATTTAAGAAAATAAGCTGATTTATAAGCTTATTTATTTTCAAAAAAAAACAAAGCGACGAAAAGTGAAAATTCCAAAATTCCTACAATTTTTGCAACTTCTATAATTCGCAAGCAAAAAATTGCTATAAAAGATTATTATAATTGTTAAAATTGCTAATTCATAAAGAAAGGAAATGAAATAATAAATTCGAAATCTGTGGGAAAAATTAAGCACCTTATCGAAAAAGAAAACAGTCTGAAAGAATCCAGTGCGTTGTTGATGCAAAAGATGCACGAAACGAGCGCAATATGTTGCATCAAAGTCGGTAAATATTGCACGTGGAATAATGCAACTTTGCAGAAAGCGAGCCATTTGAGCACCACGTGATTCTAATAATCAAAAAAATTTTAAAAGATTTAATTTGAATATCAAACATAAAGAATTAAAGAATTACTTGGAGTACAATCAGCGAAAAGCAATTCTTTATCGTTACGAAATATTGTAAGAATGCGATCGACATGATCAAATTGCTTTCTAAGTTCGTCATTAAGTTTCTTCTCTAGGTTCTTCAATTGCTCTTCTTCCTTTGCTCGCTTCGTTTTACTCTAAATAGTTTTGACACACGAAAAAAAAAACCATTTACAATATAAAGAAAAAAGAAATTAAATGAGAAATAATGAATATAAAAAAAATTGAATAAAAAAAAGATTGAAATTTTCAGAAATTTTAGAATTTTCTCTATAAAACGCACCATTTCAGCAGCTTCAGAAACTGCATTAATGGCACGTCGTGACCGTTGTAATTCTCTTTCATATGCAGCCTTTGGTGTGTTAATATCATACATTGTAAGCATCCAAAATAAAACGAAAATCCTAAATTTCAGTGCCAAATAAAAAACGATAATTTAATGAAAAACTCGGCAGTTTTTCCACTGGAAAAGACAGAAAAAAACTGGAAAAAAATTTTTTTCTATGGAATATATATAAATTAAATCATAAATTACATTATTATGATTTAATCAATATATGATTTATGTATGATTTTAAATGATTTAAAAATTTATTATATATACGTAATAAATACTTATAATAATTAATTCTAAAAGAATTTAAAAATAAGCTATCCAAAAAAAGGACAAACTTTGTAGAGATGTCGTTCCATAGGTGATCAGGTATTAACAACTTGAGTTTTATTTCTAAATCTGCTATTACTTCATGAAAAGCTTCACTAAATATTTCGAACTTACGAGCAGAATCCAATTTTGTTTTAGATCCATCAGCATCACGTAATGCTCTTCGATTTTTATCGAATAACGCCTAAATAAATAATAAAAACAATAAAAAAAATGAGTTCAATTTTCTTTGATCAAATTAGAATTCATAGCTCATCCACAAGTTCTGGAATAGTGGATTAGCAAATAAAAGAAAAAATATGGATAAGAAAAATTAAAACTAAAACTAATCGTAAATTTCAAATTTCAATGCCAAATCATTTTAGGCAAAGAAGATCGTATACTGCTTAAATTATAAAGCATGATTTAATCCCCAATCAAAAAAACCCAGATAAAAATCAATGCTGAAGAACCATTAGTACTTTTACCCACAAGTGATTCTCTAAAAAAATGCCCCTAATAGTTAATAAAGTTAACGAAAAAAAATGAGAGCTAACCACTAACTTTTCAGACATAGAACATAATAAGAATGGAAAAACTTTACATATATGCGATGCATAAACGTCGAACGAGATAAGAAAAATGCTGCATCGATGCTCAAATGATATTTTTCGATTAATTCTGGGGCGCTAGGCATTCTACTACAATAATCTTCTTGGCGAATACTTGACCTCAAAAATGATCCAAACTGCACCATCGTCTCCTGACACTAAAATATAAAATTTTTCATGTTCATATTTCTCCTACTTCAGCGGAGCATAAATATTAAATAAATTTTAATATATCAGAGATTTAATAACTTATATTTATAAAATAAAACCTGATCAAGCATCTGTCCAGCAAGTTTTAGAGGTATATCGCTGGATTCTTCGTAAACAATGCACTGGCGTTGTTGAGCCGTTAAGATAGAAAGTCCAACAATCAAATGTTCTCTAAAAAGAGCTTCTCGTAGACGAATTGTCGCACGTTTATTAGAACGAACCACTGAGAATGAACCAGCCTAAAAAATTTAATGAAAAGTTATATTGACGATCATAAGAATAGAATAATGCGAAGGAAGGCATACCTCTTGCCGAAGAGTCTCGCCTCCAGCTAACGCTTCTATCTGATCATTAGTCAAACCTGTGGTAGATTCGATTCCTGACATGTTCTGAATAATTTCACGAAGAACGAGCAAATCAAAACTAAAAATAACCATAAACTAAAAAAATATAATTAAGCAAATTCAAAATGGATATAAATTTTACACTGAATAAAAAAATTATTTAGAAGCAATTTTTATTATCTATAATTATTTTTCAATTATAGTGAACCTTTTTCCATTTTTCAACTGATTAGCCACATATTGAAGCACACCTGTCAATTCCATATTGTATCTCATGAAAACATTGCCAATAAAAGTGGCAAGGGACTGAAGCCATGGTGACAGAGTCCCATCAGAAGCCTTAATCAAAATATGACCTGCTTCAAAACTAAGTTAATCGCAAATGATTTCTTTTTGATTCAAAAAGAAAAATTTAAGAAAACCTTTAACTGTTGTTTATCAGGAGAAGCCAGATGTTCGATTAAACAGAATGAAAGAATATCGTATTCAAGATTACTTAGGAAACGAATAGATTCAACAACAGGTTCAATCAAGTTTTCAAATGTTTGAATCTTAAAAATAGATTTAAGAATAGAAATGTTTTTAATATATCTAAAAAATAAAAGTGAACTATGCATTTAAACTGAACCGAAGGCCGAACCTGATCAAGAATATAATCGAATACAACAGCTGGATGCATATGACACAATTTTCCCAGTTGTCTACCCATCATTCGTACAGTTTCCTTCGATAACCTTCTAAAAATAAAAAATGGATGAACATTAAAACAAAGCTTTTGTTCTCATACTTGTTATTTAAGTTTATCACCAAATTTTGACCAATTATAAAGAAAAAAGTAAATATTAATTCAGCGCTGTAGCATAAGAAACAACGTACTTTACAACATAACGCGTCATGCCAAAAGTTTTCCCTCTACAAATATTGATTTGAGGATGTCTCGAGGTATGAACCGTTTTCCATCGCGAATACATCCGATAACGAATAACGTAAGAAAAATGAGAAACCAAATTCCACAGTTCTTCGGACAACGCACAATTACCACCGCTTAGTGAGAGTGATGGTATTAAAACTTCATCTGCCGCGTCAATAAATGCATTTGAGACTAAATTTTCATAATAATACTTTAAATGTGAAAGTAAATTCTTTGATGTTTGATATTGACCTAAAACTTTTGTTTAAACAATATAATTCTTGAAATCTGACCCAAATTCTTGAGAATCTTTCAAAGAATCTTTTAAAAATATTAATATTTATAAAAATATTAAAAAGAATATTTGAAAAACATTGGCCACTAACTAGCGTCTGAATGAGTCAATTTGATCAAATCTGGATCCCTCGTCTTTTCTTCGAAAAATACTGCCATTAAACGAACCAGTTTTACAACCGCTTTCGGCCGATAAGCTATCATTGGGCCAACATAATACAATACCGGCAAAATCACTGAAGCAAGTTCTGACCAACTGCCAACCTTTAACAAAATGATTTCTAATGCGTTTTAAGATCGTTTATTAAAATTTTTTTAGATTAAATTTTGGATAAATTAAAATTTATTCTTAGTTAACAATTAAAAAAATTACGATTTCAAGTGACAAAGTATGAATAACAGCTGTTGAAGGAATTGCTTCACCTAATTTGTATTTACATTTCCTGCAAAAGTTTAAATTTAACAATTTAAATTTAACATTGCAAGCACGAAACATTCAATTTTTAAAACAAATTACTACTTTTTAATTGAGAATTTTATAAGGTTTATAAGGAAAATTTCAAAAATTCTTTTAACAGCTATCATCATTACTGGTTAGGCTGGCTCCATTAAATATAAGGATAAGAGGTCTCCATGCTCGGTCCGACACCATCGCTAGTAGAAACCATTCCTTTTTCCATCGTCTAAGTTCATATATGCTGGTCCACCTATACGTTCAAAATCTTTTCTGACCGTATCAGTCCATGTCTCGATTGACTCACCTCGCTTTTGACACCACCCATCATAGGGTTAAATAAGTAACGAAATATGCGTCAACTCCTGTGGTGGAAGATAAAGAACGTGTCCTAACCAGCGAAGGCGACGCTCTGTGATAACATTATTTATGCAAGTGGTATTTGAACGAAGGTGGATGCGATTAAAGTGATATCTTATCCGCTCGACGAATCCGTAAAATCTACCTTAGACAAAAGTGGAGATAACTTCTTAACATCTTCCACTCTCATTCGCCATATCTCAGAACATATAGCAAGATCAAACGGATCACGGCTATAAAAATGTGAACTTTCGTTTTTATGGTGATTTCACGACGACTCCATAAATGTTTCATCAACCCGAAGAACGGATTTCTAGCTGTCACGATCCCGATTGTAATATCACCTGGTCTGGCCATTTGGTATTAGAGTGGACTCAATGTAAGCAATGAATTTATCAAAAGAGGCGTTTAATCAGCTTTTCGCACATAAAAAGAAAGGACTTTCGTTTTAATTTCATTGACTCTGAATCCGATTCTCGCTTCAATTGCTGACACATTAGCATTATTTGCATTTCGCCATAATTGTCAGCAAAAAGGACTACATCATCAGCGTATTCAAGATACGATACGATGCTCTGGACTGATTTGGACACCTCTTGAGTGCCGACAAGCGATGCCCATTATCCAGTCTATCGTATAGTTGAATACCGTAAGGGAAACGACGAGGCCTGACGGCACCAGTTCTTATTTCGAAGGAGTCTGTCAGCTCCCCATATACACAGACCTGCGCTAACTCATTCATAAAATGCCTTTATGAGTCGAATGATCTTCCCTGGAACACTGTAATGTTCCATCACCCTCCAAAGCGCCGCTCTATCAAAGGCAGCCGCAAACCGATGAAAGACGTGACAGTGGGCTGCAAATATATCTGAATTGATATTCCAACCCTTCTTAATGTGAATATCTGGTCATCACAACCGCGCCCTGGTCTGAAACCAGCTTGATTAGGGCGCATCCTGCTGTCCCATACTTCCATAAATCTGCTGAGTAACAAGGAAGCAAAAATTTTCGCTGAGACATCTACCAGGATGATTCCTCAATAATTGTTGCAGTATGTCCTATCACCTGAGAGCAGAATTGTTTTACTCCAATCATCTAGTAATATTTCTTTTCTCCATATTAGAGACTGAAGGTGCGTTATGAAGGACGATGGACAATTTGAAAAGTTCAGCCCTCAGTCTATCTTCTTCACGGAGTCTTATTGGCCTTAAGCTTATGGATAAGGGAAATTATTTTTTCTTCTACTAGAGGCTCGCAATTGCAAGCGTATAGTTCGGCAAACGTATCAGCTGTATCAGGGGCAACAGATGGCTGATGGCTCTTCATGGTTAAGTTTGGCCTCAAAGAATTTTTTCCATCTTATGAGGGAGTTCTTAATATTCTTGATCGGCACGCCACTGCTGGCCCTTACCATTTCACTGACCGTTCCTCGAGTTATAGTTACTTTATGAAGAAGGCGGAATAGTTTCTTATTATCGCCTAATCGAGCCACCGTCTCCATTTTTGAGGGTATGTCACTCCAATAAAGATTTCTGTCTCGCCTTGCTGCTTTCGTTAAAAATCTTCGAGGCATCCGATAGCCAGCATCGCCTGACATTCGTACTTTGGCAACTTTTTTCAGACAGTTGGACGATTGCTCCTAAATACCCAACTAGCACACTTCCTAATAGTATGCTCTAGTATGCAAGTGGTTGATTTTCGGAGACATTCCTTTAGTTTGGACCAGTATTTATTCGCCGTTCCAGAAAAATCATTGATATTTGTATCATTGAGATGTTTCAATAATTCGACTTGAAATGCGCTCAATGTCCCCGAATTTTTTAGCTCGAGATAGTTGAAGGACCTTGGGGTAAGGACCTGTTTTCTGCGAGCTGTCAATTTTATGAGGATCTTGGCTCAAATCATAACATGGTCAGATCCATGAAGATTGCCGTTTCAGCGACGCGATAGGAACGATTAACTAGTACGGGACTCTTCCAACGGTGACTGACTGAGATATAATCAATCTGGCTGAAATGTTGGCTGTCCGGGGAATTGCAGGTGACTAGATGTTTTCTACGATGCCTGAAGCAAGTATTATTTAAAATACAAGTAACAAAAGTTCGCGCTCTTCGACATAACCGAGAATGCGTTCCCATTGGCGCACCGGTCTCCGATGCCATATTTGCCAATTGTTGAGGTCATCGCAGCGGCATCATGACCCTACGCAAGCATTCCAGTCTCCCCCGATTATGACCATGTTTCGGTAGAAACTTTTAATAGTTGAAGTTCCGCATAGAACTTATCTTTAAGCCGGTCATCTGCCGACAGAGTTGGAGTATAGACACTGATGACCGAGATACTGCGGAACTTATCCTTAAAATAGGCATAGGCCATACAGTCGCTTACTGGTTTCTACTCAATTAAAGTGGAATGGGCCTTGTCAGACATGACAATCGTTACGCCATTTCGTTCCGAATTATTCGAAGCATCACAGTATCTCTGCTCCGAACCAGGATTAGTAATCACTCGAGATCCGAAATGAAGACCTCCGACCTCCGACAAGCAAGTGATACCCACACAATATTTAGAAAGGGTGTGGAAGTGATCGTTTGACTTGCAAAGTCCATAAGCGTTCTGATACCGCTAATACCTACCAGCGCGTACAGATGGGTGTCCCCCTTGATAGGCTTCGAGCAAATTTTATTTACCAGTCTTGGGATCGCTTTAAGCCTGGATTGTATACTTATTGCACGTACCACCGGGCTGGGAATATCATGCGCGTCGGGAGAAGCGAACGCCGAATCAAGAATATCTGATCCTTTCACCATAAAGTACAGGTGGATCCCCAGCAACCAACCACCTGAATTTTTGACGTGACAGGTTTACTCCTACCAAAATATCAAAAATTAATCTGAAGTGAAACAAGGTACTGTTTGTGGTATGGTCTTATATTACTCCTATTTCTTTCCCCACCAATAACTGAACCTGTTGTCTCGTTTTTGTATTCTCTTCCATCATTGTGATATCTTCCCACCAATAATTCATCCATCAATAAACGATCTTAAATTCTTAAATTTCGTTCCGGACTTTATCCACTTTGGAGCTATAATCCTAAGATTTTCCCTATTTCTTCGCAAGCAGGTGGTTTGTGCTCAATAATCTCAGATGCAAAATATCACAAAAATCTTAAATCTCAAAGATCCCAAAAAAAAGACTAACTCTTGATAAAAATCATCAATGGAACGTTCTATAAGATCAGATATCGAAAGAGCAATATTTTTTCTGAAAAAGTATGAATAAATTTGATTTCATTTTTTCTTACGCAAGTAAAATGGTAAAGGTAAATAAAGATAAAAATTACATAATATATGTTGTAAAGTGAAATATCAAAATTTAAAAAATATTTACATATTTAAAAAATAAAAACAAACGATGCGTTCACTGCAAAAAATTCAGGAAAACGATCAAGTAGCTGTTTCGCAAGAGACCACGCCCCTTCTTCCAATAACGCAAAAGTCAAACCTAGTTTCTGGTTCTTATTTAAGTTCATTTCCTAAAATTTAATTTTATTTAAATAAAAATTCTCATATAAATAAAAAGGATTTACACAAAAATTTATATAAAAATTTTGTAAAAAATTTAAACGCCAAATAATCATATAAACTTTAGAAAACTGAAAAAATAAAACAAACATCTGAATTTTCTCCCTCTAAAAACTTTAAATCTTCAGTTTCTTGCACAGCTGCAACAGCAGCGAATGAAATTCCTGTTACTGGATTCGAAAACGAATCGTCAATTAGCGCAGAATTAGCAGGTCGAATTTCAGCTGGTATCTGCGCAGTAGAAATGATTTCAGCTTTCTTAGATCGCGCCAAATCTCTTTCCAATCGCGTTTTATAGTCACTCATAAGCGTTTCTGATTTTGGCGTTAACTGCAAGAAAAAATAAAACTAAAATTTCCATAAAAATGAGACAACAAATACCATGCAATATCATGAAAACTTTTACTAACATAAGAACAGAGGGATAGAACATCAATAATTCTTTCCATACAAAGAATAGCAGCTAATCTGAACAAAGAAAATGGTGTCCCAGTTGAATTCTGAATTGAAATTAATGATTATATAAAAGATCAAAAGAGAATTGATGAAAAACATTAACTGTTTAAAAAATTTAAAAATTTATAAAATTATGTGGAAAATAACTTGAAATGAAGGTTTCTTGACCAAATATTTTGTACAAATTTGGGATTTCGCTAAATTTAAATAATGATGAATGAAATCGCAGTACCTGATAAAAAGTAAATTTAAATCCAATAATACTACAGATTACGTCACTATTTGCTTTGTATTCATTAAGCAGAGAAATAAAAAATGATCTCCTTTGCGGAAAAGCCTCGAATGACTCTAAAATTATATCCAAAACACGATTTGGGTCCAAATTGAACTGACCTGTAAAATAAAACATCTTTTGATGAATCAGGCATCCCTATTTTTTTTAAACGAAGAAAAAAAGGACAACCTATAAGTCGATATAAAATTGTTAAAGTTGACGAAGCAGATCTAGAATGGTTTTCATACAGTTCAGTTATCAATTTAGCGTATCCTTCATTTTCTTCTCGTAGTAAATTGAATTTCACTTGCTTGAAACTTTAAAATACATTATAAATATGACATATTATAAATTAAATAATTAAGGAAGGCAAAAAGATAAATAATTATTTTAAAATAACCTTTGTTTTAATTAATACAGAAAAAAATAATACAAAAAAATAAAAAAATTCAGGACAAAAACTTAGATTAAAAAAAGAGTTGAATATTTCCAGTTAAATATTCATATTATAGAATCAATCTATAAACTAAGAAAAAAACAAAACTTACAAAAGTCTTGTTTTTGTTTTCACTATACGTGAACGTGTCGTGGTTTCATTGGCACCCAATGGTTCTAATTCCAATTTCATAACGTCTTCAGGTACAACCTTGAAATTCCAAACACAATAGTCTCTTTAATAAATTTTTCTTTATATTATATTATATGAACCTTTATATTGTATTATATGAGCCTTTATGAACAATAAAGTAATAAAAGAAAGTAAGCATTCCTGATAAATAATACTGATTATAATATAAAAATCTTACCATTTTAATGCTGCAGAATTGTTTTAAAAAACAATTATTAATAAAATGAGAAAATAACTAATGATTAATTTTAAAAAACCATTAAAAAAACCATTCTTAGTTAAATGTTCAAAAATGAAATAATTTTTAAATAAGAATTAGGACAAACTCGATTAGAAATAAGATTCGTGAATTCAATAAGTAGTTTTTGCCCTTCTACATTTTTATCGAATGACATTTCAGCATCCAATGCTGATAAAACATCCAACATAAAACCACTAGTCGAGTCATTTTCTTTCTAAAATAGCAATATGGAGGAAAAAATAAACTGAAGATTAAACAAACTAAAATCGTTAAACCTATTAAACCGAGTAAAAAATTTCATAAACTTTCATATATATATTAAAATCGCTATTAAACCGAGTAAAAAATTTCATAAACTTTCATATATAATAACTTTCATATTTAATAAATATTTAATAAATTTAAATTTTATTTAATAAACAATTATAATTAAATAGAGCTATAAGCGCCATGTGCTTATAAAAATACAAAAAAATAATGGAAACCTTGATAAAATCAGTTATATTATGATATATTTTTAAGAATTAAAGTGAAGATAAAAAATCTAAAGAAAAAAAGGTATGAGAGAAGCAATAGACGATTGGAATAAATTTATAAAAATCCAAATTATGTTACATTATAAATAATAGAAAATAAGAAATAAATAAATAATAGATTAAAAATTGGATAGGAATGGAGTTAACACCACATTTCTGGGCAATTTATTTCGATAATTTATCATATTCATAAACAATTAAGTTGCATTAGTTCCGCAAAATATGTAAAAAAAATTGAGTCGTTGCCTATATTTCAAATATTTAAGTATTTATAAGCCACTTCCTCGAGTTATATCGGAATTTAAATCGTAATATTTATAATCAAAATTTATAGAACAAAATATTTTAAATTTTATAAATGTATATCAAACCTTGTTTTATTTTCTAAATTACCAAATAAATTTAAATTTAAATACCGTATCTTGTAATTGTGTAATTAATATGTGTCAACATGAATTAGGATTTAAACGAGACAAGTATTCCTATATACCAATCAATTTATTTGATTAGATCTTGAACCTAGGACGATAGCGGATGTTATTATGATCAAAACGAGAACGCTGATAAAATATTTATTTCTATCAATTCGCTGGTAAAAAAGACTTTAAATATCTTGGACCTATTTTTATACCAAGAAATCGAAAGAAAGGCGAAAGACTCATATAACCGCAGACGAACCGGTAAAACTGAAGCTAGGAATATTTTTTCATTTGGCAAAGCCTCTGTGAAATCACCATGAAATTATTACCAAAAGGAAATCTGCTCGGTTGCAGCGCATACCTTCATGCTACAAAGCTGCGAAATATGGCTGAGAATGGAAGATATTAAGAAGTTTGCTTTGGACTAATCGTCATATCTAAGGTGAATCTTACACTCTTGAGAAAATAAAATCTCACACAGTTGTATCTATTTTTGTTCAAATACCAATATCGAATATTATTGCTTTCCTATTCATAAATAAATTCATAGCGATGTAATAATTTAAATTAATAATTATTTTCATATCATTGGTTATCTGTTTTTCTCCGCCCAAGAAATTGATTCATATCTCGCTAACTACTAAACCCAATAATGGATGGCATCAAAAGCGAGGACCAATCAAGGCCCGGACTAATAGAACCAAAAGAGATTTATCGGATTCAACTTCTCGGAAACTTCTTACTGGAAGGTCTTATCCTTATAGTCAGTTTAATTAATGAAGATTAAAAAGAGAAAAAAAAACCACTGATATACGTGGTAAAGAACGAAAGGCCTATACAACATCTAATTTAAATGGGATCTGAATGTGTCACATAAATAGTGAGCTACCCAACTGAATCACTGAGATTAGCCAATAATTGGAACATAATATATACTTATACACAATAGAACCAGTAGAACTTCCCTTAATCCTTTTTGGCACCATAATTTACTTGAGATATTAATTAAAAACAATAAGTGATACCAGTTTTTTTTTTTAAAGAGTCCTCACCATTACTGGTTAAACTCGCTCCACTGGCTTGTCGCACTGGGCAATGCCAGAGAGTCCACTGGCGATGGAGATGCAGATGAGTTGCCAGCATCACCCAGATTTTTGTACAGGTTTACTCCTGCATGGAATCGAACTTTTTTAAGAGAAACCAAAACAAAAGATGCAAAAATAAAGGATCAAAAAAGGAGCAACAATGAGAAATAATCCACACTATCCCAACAAATATCATCAATCCTGAAAGCATGAAAATTATGTCGCTGCAAAAATAATTTAAAAATAGCCAAGGGAACAATGAATTATTCCACTGATATATTATATGCTGCAATCGAATAAATTAATTTTATCGCTATAAAGAAACCAACCCAAAAAACTCCACAAAATATAAAACTCTTTCGAAAAGTGCTCATATTGCACCGAAAGTATACATCATATAAGAAGCGGTTTTCCTTGGGTTCAGCCTTATTCAGGCCAGGTCAACCATACCCATATCGGACTCGGTGCTTATATAATCATAGCACAATATTATTCGTTTTCGGTTATTTGGTCCACAATAATCACTCTTGTTAGAGATAAGGGATAGGTGAAGGAACGATGGACAGTTACAGACATCAGAACCACAAAGCCGATAATACGGCAAGAGGAAAACTTTTAATGAAAGATAGAATGGAAGAAACTGGATAGATTTCGTGTTAAAGATATGAATAAAAGGGAGAAAATCCGGATTTAAGAGAAGATTGACTATACAAAAAAGAAAGATGAAGAAAATAATATCCAGATAATGATCTTCAGCATGTGCTGACTTGCTAAGTGATAAACATTCGAAAAGCACAAATAATAATGTAAAGGGTCAGGTTTTCTTCATAATATACTATTTTACAATGACGGCGTTTTAAAAAAGGACTAACAATGAAGCACGACTGCGTTTAGACTCTGAATGGCTGATATGAGGCTGATTTAACAGCCAAATCGATCGGGTTAGTCGACATCCTTACAAAAACTAACAAGACCAAGCAAAAATAAAGCATGGATGGTTGAGGTAAACTGATGCTAAAGCCAGATTTTTTTAGAAAATTTAGTATCGAATAAAAATGTAAAACTAAAATACATTCATAATTTAAAATAAGAATAACCATTTTTGATTGCAGTGTAGATAATGCAGCCTCGGGCGAAATTTCTCTGCTGATAACTTGACGACACATCTGAAGTAAATCGACAGCTAAAACATCCATTTTACCGGCCAATTTTTCCTGTAATTGCAAAAATTTACATTTTGTCGCTGATTTTTTATATTTTCGAGATGAAACGCTACTTAATCGTTAGTGGTTTCGAACAGTCGACCAACCATCCATCAGAGATTTGCAGTTATCATCTAACTGCAGTTTTCTTGTTAGAAAAAGCTGAGCGTAAAAATGCAGACCGAACCTACTGACTGCCTGGCCATCTCCATCGCATCGGGTGCTGCGGACGAGAAGCGGCCGATCGCTTACTCATTACAATCAAAATGCGCAGAACCCGACTCCGACGCACTTCTTGTTCTGAATCGAAAGCCAATTTCATTTCATTTCATGCCTTCCATCCGTCCGCCTCCTCCTTACCAAACAATTAAGCAGACTCCCCGATAAAATTGCCGAAATCAATTTGCCGGCGATAATTCGATTTACGCCTTCTTATTCAGTCATTTACTAGAAAATTGGACCGATCGAGCGGATTATTCGCAATTTTTCCGATAAAATACTTCCAACAAAACGGAAGTAAATGAACGAGAAAGATCGCGCAAAAAGCCTTCCGCTTCGCGAATCGCTTTTCAGCTTTTATTTTTGGAAGAATAAATCGAAAGGGATTTTCTATTAAATTCGCCAACGAAAAAACTCCCCAACGTCAGAGCGTTTAAATAATTTGCAAATCAAAGAGATAAAATTTATTTATAAAATAACAAATGTTAAATTTGAAGAGGAAAAATGCTATTTCTGAGAGTCGTTTTAGAACTTCTCACCAATCTTTCAAACATTACAGCTAAATATTTTCTTTGTCCCCCCGTCTTTCAATCTTTCAACTTGCCTTGAAACACCTTTCGTTGATTAACGATTAAGGCTGAAGCAAATAGCAGCAGATAATTTGTTAGGCCCATAATATCTGATAGTCTCGCCCCATTGGCTGTTTGTACGACGGGAAATTTATGCGGGGTATGAGGTCCGCGCATAATAGAGCTGGTGCGCGGAATTCGAGTCGCGGTGTTCCGAGACAATCATTTGACAGTAACCGCTCGAATACTCAGCGTTCTAAAATAATCGTCCGAAGGAATTCGTCCCGTATAACGGTAGATTAGGCAGTAATATGCGATAATTCGACACCTTCAAATAGTTTCCAAGAAATATTTGAGTTTCATTTAATCATGGAAAACATTTACAGGACAGTCGCAACTTTTGGAAAAATTAAAGCAACCGACCGTTGCTGAAGGAAGTGCGAAAGATGTCGAATTCGGGAGGGCTTAATTTCACTATTTTATTTTTTAAAGGACTTACCTATCGTCGAAAAACTTACTTCATTGCGGTATTATTATTATTTTTAATAACGCTCATCATGTTTTTCGCCATTCGTCACAATTATTTTGCTAAGTCCTGCGATGGATGGCATTAAAGTGAGGAAGGCCAGTCAAGACGGTCTGATTTTGAGCGCAGTAAGAGCTTAGGTATGGCCTAGGGATCGGGAATCGGGAATGAATCGGGAACCTGAGAAATGTTCTTTCCTATCGCCAATGGCGCCTGCCAAATAGGAGAGAGAACAGCACGGCACTTCCAGTACGACCCACTTCGCTGAACAACACGGATAAATTTATTGTATACATATAGACTTCTTAGTTATAAAACTGCGCTGCGTCCTAGCGGTATTTATTTAGAAGAAGGAATGTTTCCATGCGTTTCGGCTTCCGGAATGAATGCGGCGGCGTCTGTTTGGAGACGGCGGTGACGCGAGATGGAGGTGTCGGATGGATGTCGGATAAAATCACTGTTTGATAAAACACTTCTTTTTTCGCGAGCTTTTTAAATAAGTGCAATTTTTCGTTCTGACATTATTATTATTATTGATAATAATAATTAATAATAATAATAATAATATTATAATAATATAATAATAATAATATAATAATAATATAATAATAATATAATAATAATATTATAATAATATTATAATAATATAATAATAATATAATAATAATATTATAATAATATATTATTATATATTATATTATATTTATTATTATTATATAATATAATAATAATATAATAATAATATTATAATAATATAATAATAATAATATAATAATAATATAATAATAATAAATAATAATGAATAATAATAATAAAATAATAAATAATAATAATAAAATAATAAATAATAATAAATAATAATAAATAATAATAAAATAATAATAATAATAATGGTAATGGTTATTATAACAATAATAATATTTCTTAAAATTATGCGAAGCGAATCTATAAAGAGAATTTGAAAGTTTTATGTGAGAAATTTTGCGATCCCTTTTCCATCGATGGCACTTCTTTTAACAAAAACGCGAAAGTTTTGCGTTAAAGGTAGTAACAATAGAGAAATCAGTAAAATCAACAAATTTATGGCTATAAAACTTAAAACATAATTCAACAAAGCGGAAAAATCGTTGAACCGTTAATCGCTTTGTGCTTGCAGCCTTCGAGTTTTCGTTTTTTATCTTCTTCGTCCACTTCAAGCCAATCTCTGATGTGCAGCATCGTTAATTTTCATTTATACAAAATAAGGAGATTTTATTGCGAAAAACGAAGAGTGCCTAGAAATCGCACAAATCTAACTTCTTTTGTTGTTATTACTGCCTTCTTCCTACTTTATATAAATAATTGTAACGATGAAAATCAGAAATCTCAGTTCCCTTCATCTTTTTGCATTCTCCCATTTAGTTCATTTGTTTATATCGATTATTCCGCTGATTTCAGTAAATAAATAAATTATATTCGCTTGCATATGTGTTGAATGAAATTTAAGAAGAAAACGACAGATCAACTTTCACTGTAGAAAAATCAGCCCAAGTTGGCGGTCAAAACCGTAATTAATAACTGTTTTGTTCGTTAGCTTGTGTTCATTTCACAGTGTTCAATGCAGTTTACCAGCTGTTTTATCTTCATCTCCTTATTTTCCCTAACTAAAAGCCAGTATTCGACGCAGGAATTGGAAAATGAAAGAGCTGCAGGTATTTGTTTTACACTAATATTAAGCTGAATTCACGCTTCATTATTCATTTAATCAAGTATTTTTTCGATAAAAAATTTAAATTCGAATATTTTGCAAAGCACTGGAGTAGAATCTAAGGAAGCGAGGTGGTGGAACGTTTCATGATAATCTTATACAGTTCGATTCCTGCATCAGGGGAGGAGGGATTTTTCAGTGAAATGCCGCTGCTTCTATGGACACGCCAGTATTTCCATTTCAAGATCACCCTTGATAGCTCTCCATTCTAATGGCCACTAGAGCCTGCCAAACCAGAGGCAAAGGGTGGGGAAAAAAAAGAACGATTAGCTAAGAAGTATTTACCATTTTTTCTATTAATTTTTAACGCTTTTTCATACTTTCTTATTTTGATCCATCATTTGCTTTAAATAAATCTGATAAAAAAGGATCATTTTCTTATTTGAAAACCAGTAAATAAGCAGAACTACTTGATATATCCAGATTTGCATCTTTATGCAGTTCGTTCTTTTAGAGATAGCCAATAAGACTTATATCGAAGAACAAACCCAACTGCAGCGAGCAATATTTCGTAAGTACAATAAACGAAATAGACCAGTGCGGAATGATTCGGAATTTCTTGATGTTGCTGTTCATGTTTATTTAATGCATATTTCCGTAAACCAGATTGAACAAACTATAACACTCAATGGCCATTTATATATGGTTAGTTAGCGATAAATTCCAATTTATAAAAAAAATTTATATTATAGCATTTAATGTAGCCAGCATTGTAGCCAGCATTTAATTTATATTGTATGAAACCATGGCAGTAAGGACCATGATGGTTGAGCGCTGGGTTGTCTTCGACTGAAATTCTATTTCTATTTCTTGACAGAAAGAAATTCATAAGGTGAAATCAAGGTGCTGCTGGGTTTCCACTGCCCATGTATTCTCTGGTGAAAGAGTCTCATCCTAATCTTAGTGAAACCAGAAATAATGGACGCTGCAAGGGGAAAAAAACTTTAATTATTATGCACTTTTTGAAGAATTCACTATCTACCATTTCCAATTTTTTATATTAATTTTTATCGAATTTGACTCATTACAATCAAATGGGTTGTGCTCGGGAAAGTTTTGTGCATGTAAGCTTCGAACAATTTTTGATAAATTGTGGGTACAGACAATCAGCTAATTGATGAGCAAGTAAATGTCTGGTTGGATGAATATTTTCCACTAGATAGCTGGTTGTTTCAAAAAATTACGACAGAGAAATATACTTGGTGATGGAACACGTAGGTAGCCAGCAACACTCGAGTCAGTCAACACTTTTTTCAAAATATTTGGTGTGTTTTCCTCGTAACTATGGCGATGCCGATATAAAGTTTCATTGCATTATCCTAACAAATTTGATATTGTAAGTATGGCCATGATCGAATGGTATATTGTTTTGACTAAAGTTTAGTCGTAACTTTGGTATGTTCGGTTTCTGTCCTTTGACGAGAGTAAGTTATCTCATTAGCAGCAAAAGCCTGGGGCTCAATCTATCTCCATGTGAGTCTCTAATTAAAGGATTTAAGAGTCAGCCAAATCAGAAATGCTACTAGAAAGGCGAAGATCAGTATGCTAATATATACAAATATATCATTTGATAATTTGTTATGCCACTTTCAACTTCGCTTGCATTTTCACCATAGCTGCAAGCACACAAAAAAGAAAAAAATCATCCAACCTATTTAAGATTCTATTTGATTTTTTTAAATTTTCAATAAAGCCGGATATAAAACGGTTTATCAAAACCGCATAATGAAATATAATCTTAACAGTAAAATTAAAAATTATATCATGTAGACTTCTGCAGACTTGGAGAGATGAATTTGCCGTATGGGAGCCTACCGAATATAATGGAGTTCGCATTACGATGGTAAAACAATGGGAAATTTGGGTTCCAGAACTTAGGATAACAAATAGGTACGCAGATCATCGAAATTAGAGATCGTAATTTTTTCCTCTTTTGCATTATTATATCCTAACCAAGCAAATACCACACTATTATACTAATTAAAAATAAATTTCAAAAATTAAAACTCATTCCATTCATTCAAATTATCTTAATCATAGTAGAGGAGTTAGCAATTGTTAGCAATTACTTTTAAATTTTTTCGCCATGGACCTCTAGAATCGACACGATATATTAGAGTGGAAACGATTCGTATTAGAAAGACTGGATATCCTGTCTTGCCCGATATGATTTTGTATGATTATGATTATGACCGATATGATTATGTAGATTTCGTATAAAGATATAGAATGATTGTTAGAGGGATAGGTAATTATTTATAAATACTGATATCACAAGGTTTATTCCCTAGGAAAACCTTTATTACCCTTATCCTTTATTTTTTATGAAAGCTATAAAATTATAATCAAAATAATAATATTAATAAAAATATTATTATTTTGATTATTAATTACATATGATCATTTCTTAACTATTTTAACCAAATATGGTAATTAATAATGCATTGCATATAACCGTCGTATATGATAAGCATTTGATATGCAAAAAAAGTATATTTATAGGCAATAGCCATTTGTTCATAAACTCAGTGGCGTGCTTGTTAGGCAATTATCGCATAGAAATTACGCTCCTAATTTCTGAAGGTTTTCCTGACTATATGGATAATTAATAACTAACTCATTTGCCCTTGCAAAAATTAGCTCTTCTTTTGCAGCTTCTTTTGGACTGTGTATTTTTCGGCATTCATTTTTGTGTGGTGCATAGATGGCAAAGGACAAAGAAGTGGATCCTTTAATTCCATTTCAGTGCATCAAAATTTGCCTATTCAAAATGCATCTGTTGGCTCTACTAGCTTTTAAATAATGCCATCTTTCACTGCATAAAAAATGAAGTAAAAAAGAAAGAGGATCCAGAATTTATCTCTGTTCTTTTTAATCAATTTCAAAAAAAGAATGTTATTCGAAACGTCTCTTTTGCAAGTGAAATGAGCTCGCTACTTCGGTTTGCAAAACGATAACGATAAACGATAGGAAAATTTGCATAATTATATTTCTACATCCAAATATGAAATTTTTAAGAAGCCTTGCAGTTTTTCGCCTTGTGTAACAACCATTCTATTAAAGTATTCCTGGACTAAGAAAAATTCTTTATTTTATTTTTTATATTTAAAAGAAACGATTCAAACTACGTTAAGAAGCAATTTAAACTACAAATCATCGATTTAATATTTTGCATATTTAAATATTTCAAATACTGTATGTATTTAATGTTTTAAATATTAAATAATATACAGATATTTAAAATTTCTTTACATAAGTAATTTTTTAAACGAAATTTGTTTGGATTAAATTTGTATTTTTCGATTCGTGTTTCTCGATTCGGAATAAACCTGTCATTAAAATTGAAATCCTCATGGTGCTGGTAATTTTTTTCTATCTTTAAATGGTTCTCTGGCCAAAGGATCTCATCCTATTTACTGCGGAGACAACTGGCCAAACTAGAAGTAGTTCGCGCTGTCAGAAGAAGATTTCGATTGTACGATTTCTCGATAAAATGTTCTTATCGAAAGAACAATGATGGGAAAAGGTGTTATTTTGTTCTGCATTTAACGAATTATTAAAATCAGCATACAAGCCTTACCATATCATTTATAGTAAAGAAAACTGATTGGCGCTCATTTCTAATTAGATAAACTCCGTTGACTATTAGTGGTTAGAAATTTTGCGAGTGGGTAGCACCACCCGGATTTTTTAATCACAGGTTCTCTTGTCGGATGCAAGAATCAAATCCTCTTCTATCAACGTCATTCATATAAATATGAATTAATGAAGAATTATCTGATAAGAATTATGATACTGGTCACTAGTCTTTTTAATGTAAAAATGAAGACGCGAATTTATATATATCATAAGGCGCCGATTCGCATATAAGCTTTTATATACTTGAGAAATTTTCTGTAAACTGTCTGATAACTGTCAATTTATTTCGGTTACTCTTTAACAAGCTCATCCACAAGCGGTAGGCTATTGATGTTGACGGATGAACTGGTGGTATTCTAGCTAAAGCGGTCTCGACAAGATATCTTCACCAAGAAATTGATCTCAGATGCATCACAGAGCATTGCCGGAGCTCAATAAAGTAAATAGAAATTTATGATATGCTGATACTTCATATTTCATAACTGCTGATATTTCATCGCCGATTTAATCAAAAAGGATTTCGAAAATTTATCCGATATGAAAGCAAATGCAAATTTTATTGTCTATTTTTGATGCATTTGCATATTACGACGAAATATTACAATATAAATACATAGGGGTGGATCATAATAAATAAGGTATTACAGAATAAAGTCTTTATGAAATATTTCAGTGTTTCTGGAATTGGCCAATATTTTGAAATTTCCAAAAGGTCGCATGTGCTTATTCATTCCAACGGCAAAGCGGTATTCAATTTGATTTCTTCTGGATTGGCAAAAGTTTTTTGGCATTTTTACTGATTTAGCAAACTTTGATTGATTATTCTTGGATATCTTCTGATTCCATTAATTTCCTTCTAAATCTAGTAATTCATTTCTATCAATAATCGAAAAGTTTTTATTTAAGTGGAGCCGGATCGAAATCTATCCAACTTTTTCAATAAAAATTGGTTGTGCATTTGATTATTCAGCGTATCCATTTGATACACAAAGTTGCGCCTTGGGTATTTATACGAGCCAAAGAATGAGTGCTGTTCAATTATCAATTTATTACAATATACAGCCGACTGTCCAACTTGGTTCAAACTTTATTCATTCCTTCTTTATTGTTAAATCTATTCCCTCATAAGAAAGAAGTTGGTGTAGAGGTTTCCTTGTTTTCCTCATTAATTATTATTTTGATCAACAAAATGGGCTTTCAAGATTCTATGACTTTTTACTTTTTTGTCAGGATTTTATCAGTTGGCAATAATACTGAAATTAATGCATTAATCTGAAAAAAAATGATAAACTGGAAAAATAAAATTTATGATGTCGTTTAATAAGAAAACAGGTTAAGAGAAAGTTGAGACGATCGAAATTTCAGGTTGGGGTGCTCAATCAGAAAAAGTACATATAAGCGATTGGAGGCTTCAAAGCGTAACAATGAATTTGAGTTATTTCAGTAATGGTAAATATACAGATGAACGACCGATAGAAGCTGAAGAACTTGATTCATCATGGTGAGTGAAATTATTCTTTTAACAGCATTCTCTTTTCTGATTTTCTTGGTTCAATTTATCACTGCGATAAAGCTCCCTTTTTAAAGAGTAACTTTGCGATAGAAATAAGGGTAGGTCCTCAGGGCGTTACTTTTTTTTGAGAACATTCACCGTTGCTAATTAGGCTCATTCAACTAAACAAATATCCCTTGCCGATAGAAGTCTTGATTTTTGAAAGATAGTAAAAGTTTATTCATGTCGTGAATAGGATGTAGCCTCTCAGCATCTACAAATTGATAAACCACTGAACCATTCTCTTCTTCTTTTATTATCTCCGTTAGGAATCACTGCCGTTCGAAGAAAGTTAATGCGTGGTAGCCTTCGAACCCAAGCCACGGCTCTTGGTGTAAGATAATTACCATTGATCCATCGATGCACCAGCATTACGTAGCATTACTGATTGCCAGAAATTTAGTTGCAGCTCGTTTTTTGCTTTTCCACGAAATTTATTTGCCTTATTTGACCTTTTTTTTATGCACTATTTCAGGACGGTATTGCACACATGGATAAATCTGAAACGTAGTGCATTTTGTTTCGGAGTAGCAATTCTTCTACCATCGATAATTTCATTCCTTATTCTTATCTTTTCATTCTTGCTACCTTCCTGTGAATCAGCTATTTATATCCTTATCGCAAATTTGTTTTTTCTCGGCATCTTCTTAGAAGATCTTATTGCAATGCTTCCACCAAGCATAGGACGACCCCCTCGAATAGGTGAATTTGACTTTATTTATCAAAAAGAGAAAAAAAATTTATTTATGATCAAATCCTTGTTTTTTGTCGACATTATTATTTCGAATGTCGTATTTTTAGTGCATTTTTGTGGGTCTAACTTGGCTTTAACAACATTAGCAATTGGTTTGCAATTTTGGTTGCGTTATCTTATAAAACGGCAGAATCCAGCATATGGATGGACACTACACTTCTTGAAGGTAACGCGAATACTACTTCCAAATCATTGGCGATTTGACGAGCTTGGCGTATCTGAAAATTCTAACTCTTCAAAAATCTCAAAATCAAGTTTGTTTCGTTTTTTCAGTTTGTTCTCAGAAAATATTTCAGAAATTAAAAATTGTAATATTATTTATATGGATTTTTGATAAATTTACTGACTTAAAGGTTTGAAAATACGAAATATTCCACAAGAGCTATATTCATATATTCATATAAGAACTATCATTTTAGCATTTTTGGCTTTTTTATTTTTGCATGACTCAATTATGGCTGGAAATGCGGTGAAAATAGGCGACGTTATATTTATTTTTTAAAAACCACAAACGAAAAATAGTTTAATGCATTCAATTATTACGAAGCTTATCGAAGCTTATCAAAAAATTTCCTTACAGATGAGCAAATCACCTGGGCATCAGTTGTTAACAGCGCGAAAATCTTCTTCGTTTTTGTTTATTCTTTCTTCTTCAGCATTTTACTCTTCATTGTTCTTCTTTAAAGTCAATTAATTAATTAAAAACTAAAGGAATTATTTTGTGCTATTTTTTTATATTTGTTCATATTTGTCGTGAAATTTTCTTTTTTCTGAGAAATCCATTCGCAGTATAGGATATTGTATCTTGCAAAAATAAAATTATTTCAAACTGATCCGTTTTGTAAAATCTGCAATTTCTTTAAATTTTGAACATTATTGCTAAATTTCTACTCAGGAAAATATAAGTGAAAATATTAAGGTAGTATGGCGGGGTTTGATCTTCATATAGATAGAATGTGGAATTCAGCCGAAAAATGAATTATGAAGAAATGAATAGCATGCATTAACGACTGATTCTTAATATATGAACTACGACGATATACGCTGTATAATATAATTTTAAATAAGTTTTTTCACTGATTACTTTCAACTGAATCGACTCAATTCAGTTCCATTCTTCAAAATTTAGGTACAATTTACTAGAAAGAGGCACGACATTCGTGAAAAATTTCCTAATAAAATAACCATTTGTAATTTCCATTATGCGAATCGAAGTGGTGCTTCATCAGAGATCCACCACTACTTTTCATTTGTCATTTTCTTGTCGCTATAAGTGATCTGATTTGTGATCCACTTGTACTTCTCTTTTCGATGAAAGATAGCGTTTGAAACCAGTCAGCGAAGCTAGAAATGATGATTGCAATTGAAAGAAAAAGGATATGGAATTTTTGAGGATATAATTTAATCAAAATAAAAAGGCGTAAATGTGCACTACTGCTGAATAAGATGAGTGAATAGATGAGGTGTGAGAAATTATTAAAAGAGTATCATTAGGAATGAAAGGATTCTTCGAGGGTTAACTGGAGAAAATTACCAAATCTCTTCGGCCGCTCATTTTCCTTTTATTCCTGGTTTTTATTTCGCTTTTCCATTCACCGATTAACGCATTAATCGATAGCTAAAAAAATATAAAACAGGTGAAAAGCTCATAAAATTTGTAAGAGAAATTTGTCAAGTGAATGAATTCTTTTCTGCGCTGTTTAATCATAAAGTTTTTTGTTATTCGCTTTAGTTAATTGAATTGTTAAGAAAATCCTTCAAAAGTAATGAGAAGCCATCGTTAAAGCCCATCGGAACAACTGAACTTAGCCGTAGAAGAAATGCCGAAACGTTGCCCGACACGAATCATCATTTTTGTTTTTCGTTTTTTAACACATTTTCGTATTAATACATTTTTGTGAATAATGCTTTTATCTTTAAATTACTTTTCAACATTTTTCTTTTATTTTTATTTGTTCTTGCACGAATTCACATACGTAATTTTGTAAGATTGCGTTAGAACTTAATTTGTTCAGCCATCACCATTCTTTTAAACATATCCATTCAACCAGGTGAGATTACAATTTATTAAATCCTTTCTTTTTTTATAAGTGGATTTTTCGCATCCAAGTTTTAAAAAAGTTACCTACAAAAAAAGTACTCTTTTAGTGCAGATTATGAATATATAGATGAAATATACGATACTTTCATATTTAAGTGCAGTGGGTAAGGCGAGCGATTAATAAGGAATGTAACAACGGTGGCTGGAATCGCAGCCAACCCTCTTTCTAGTGAGGGTCCTTGAACGGACACTCTGAAAGAGCCTTATCTCAATCTCCCAGGCCTCTACTGCAGGACTTGAGGTTGAGAATGACCCCATTCCACCCACAGATTTAGGAACAGAGATCAAACAGCCAAAGTAACGCGTTTATATACTTATTTGTTGGAAACAATAGGCAAACAAGGCAAAAAAAACCACAGGCTTAATATTTTTTAGGAATTAGTAAACAAAGGAATAAATGATAAAATAGAACAAAGTTAGTAGATAAAGAAGTACTTATGGGAAATAAAATTGTATAAAACTTGACTATTTTAGGAATAATTCACGTAAACTAGAAACACACGGAGCAAAAACTACATCATTAGGTGATATTTTTTAAAATATATATATGTGAAACGAAATATGCCAAATCGAAATATAGATCTGTGCAGTGGAAATAGTTTCGTCTGCCACGCAATTGCGTTTTCTCTTTCATCTTTTATCTTTTATCCACTTCCTTTCCAGCATCGAATATTATCGCTTTCCTGTTTATAAATAAATTCATAGAGATGCAATAATTTAAATTAATGATTATTAATTTTATGGACCGAAAACATTTGTAACATTGAAAATAAATTGCGAACAAAAAGGAAGAGAGAGTAAATCTAATTTCAGTTCTAACCTCTTCTTTTAAAATTCTAGGAATAATGTCAAATAATAAATTCTTCATATCTTTACTGAATAGAAATTTACAATGGCTAACGATAAATTGGCAAATTATGTGAGTAAAAAATAGGTTATTCAACGATAGAAACTAAACACTTTGCCGCGATGAAACACAAGGCAGATTTGAACGAATTGATTTCAGCATAAATAGTAAAGTCTAAAAATAATGTAATAAAGTTAAGAAAATGGGAGAATAACCGAAAATTCTAAAAAATCTTGTTATCTCTCTTACTGATATTCGTTACTGCTATCAGATATATTTATAAGAAAAGGCTAAAATCTAAATTTTATTTTCACTTTATTGATTTATTATTATAATTTCTCGATTTAATTTACTTCCCATTCTACTTTTAAATTCATCTTTCTAAGGATAACTTATTTGTTCTGATATGAAATTTCATAATTTTCCAGGCTAATTCAGCCATAATAATTCACGGTAATACATAATAATTCTGATAATTCGAAGCCAAATCAGATGATAAGAAATAAACTTTATTTTTAACAAATAACAAAACGAATATGTCACGTAAATTTTAAATTTTCACCACTCATCCTATGGCTGACGGAATATCCCAAGGGACAGATGGATAGTAAGTCAGGTTATTAAGAGGTAAGGGTTCGCTCCTGCCCGCAATGGGTGTAAATTTCTCATTTAAAAATAGAAATGCTGCAAGTGGACCATTTGTTCTTCTATGGTCAAGTGCAAGTGACTCTTTGGCAAAAATTTCTAACCATATTATTAACTGCCAGCACAATAAGTGAAGCCAGAAATGAAATGTGCAAGCCACTTATTTATTTTATGATCTTTTTATGATCGATTTTTCATTAAAATGAAAATTATTTGTTACTCAGACGAAAATTTCTCTTTTAATTTTTGAATAAACTATCGCATGAATTGTCTATTTCTCCGCAAAATTATTCAGTAAAAACTATACTATATAAAATAAAATAGGTCGCAAAAAAATGAGCACCAGTGCAAGTCTACTGCTGTTATATACCTCGTCTTTTCGTCACTCTCCCCAATTTTATGGGAAAACTTTACTTCTGACCGATACCAACTGATTCGGTTCCATTAGCTTTCCTTTCAATTCTGTTTGCATACTTTTTGTTGAAATGATAATACTGAAAAAATAAATGAACTCTTTCGTTTGCTTAATTAAATTAAATCTGATATGTGGATTGTACCTTCACCTTTGTACCTTTAACAATATATTTTTTCAGATATTGTAATCCGTTGATTGAAATTATATATTTTCCTGAAAAAGCAAAAGGATGTTGTGATAATGTGCAAGATAAAGAAAAATTTGATAAAATTTGAAAAAAATGAAAAAGAGAAAATGATAGAGAAATCAACAAAAATTTTTGATGAAAAAAGAATTAATTTAAAAGAATTCCTTCGACTATCTTCAAATTTTTTAAAATTGCTCAGTTAACAAGGTAAAATATTTATAATCTTCTAAACTATTAAAAATCTTCGGCGAAATTTGTTTCACTCATTTAAAATCAGTATTCTTGAAAGTATTTAAAATGAAGTTCCCTTCGTATTTTTCTCCTAATATTACTCAGGTGAACTGATTTACTCATTCTACGTGGTTATCGTAATAGAATCTATTTCACTTTCCATCATTTAGGCCCATCTATTTGTTAATTTATAATTGAAAAAGATTTAATGGCAATTATATTTTTACATTTGTTTTTATGATTTCTAATATTTTGGGTATTTTTAAGAATAGTTATAACGTGTTTGTTAAATGAATGCAAGTAAATTACCCAAAATTTTTTTAAAAATTGGAATTAGATAAACTGAGAATTCAAAAAATCAGTATTACATAAACTAAATTACATAAATACATAAATATATTCTATATAATTTTATTAAGAGCGACTGATGACTGATAGCTTTATAAATTTTATAAGTTTTATAAATTTGGCGATGACCAAGGAATGAAAAAAACAACTATTTGCGGAAAACTTGAAATAAATGAACTTCTGAGCTATACTTAACTCAAATGACGAAAGGCTAATGAAACTATTGCGATTTTCTTGATATCTAAATTACATAATTGTTAACGTCTCGATCTACTTGAAATTCTTTTAAGAATTCGAAATCTTTGAAATCGAATTGAAATATTCAAATATTACAATTACTAAGTGATAAGAAAGTGATAAGAAAGATGATAATTTCGCAGTTTTGTTTTTCCGCCATTAGCAAAAATGAATAAAAACTAGGGAGATTATTTCGAGAGATTTATCCTTCATCCTTAATCATTAAAATATTTGGGTGAGCCTGTTTTTACCACCAAGTAATTCTTGATAAAATTCTCTGTCCTATTGACAGCCAGTGAAGCCTAACAAAAGATGGAGGATGC